TCATACCAGTCGGAAAATGAAAAGTTCAAAGTGTCAATTAATAACAATAATACTCTCCGAACTTTCCAGCCCAACGAAATGGTGTCACAGTATCATATAGGAGAAACCAATCCTAAAACACAATTGTTGATGATGAAGAAAGAACTACATGTACTCTTCCATCACCATTCCCTCCTCACAGGATGAAAGTCTTTTGGATGGGACCATAGAAGAAAACCAAGATCCGCCTCACAGCAGGATCTAGCATGATTTAGACCCCTCACTGATCAATTTTTACGACTGTCGAGTAAAGCACAGTCGCTTAATTTTTTTACCTTTCTTTTCATAAAAAATATCTCCTATACTATAATAATAAAGTCAAGCGCCTGTGGAGTAAAGGTCTCAATTAGAGGCATAATTAGAGACTTTTCATCTGTAAATGCCGTCAGTGACATCTTTTAATATAATTTTCAACTTGGACAGGTCATCGTTATCCTGTACACTTCAAATGTCATATTATTTTTTCTCTTGACAACACTTTTTATACGATAGTAGGACTAATGGGAATCTTCCTGAGACATCTAATCGTTTAGGTGAGCTTGATTTAGCTAATTGAAAATTACCAAATTAGCACATATACTGCATCTTATGAAAGGTCCAGTTAATTAAAAAATATCCAGGAAAATTTTATTTCAAAATATGGTTTTGTAAAACAATTTTACATTTGCTTGCTAGAACCGTTTTTGTTATTGATTTTAAATAGGACAGACTAAGAGCTACATGAAAACGTCAAAATTGTCAATATACAATTAAAAAACTTTTGTCAACAAGAAGTTCAGACTTTTAGTAAGATTAAATAATTAAACCATGTCTTGAAGACTCCAATTTAAAACAAAAACAATTAGAATATATATGTTTATCGGCATTGATAAGAAAATGATTCTTCTTTCAAAACAAGTGTTAATTAAACTTATTTCATATAAACAGGTACACTATTTCAACGATGAACAGAAATGCTATTGACTCAATAAGCATTAACCGTGGTTTCTTACATGAAATAAAAAAAGAATTATCAAAAAAATTTATATTTTTGCTCAAAAGATTATCTCCCATCTCTCTCTAGATATATTAAAAAAAATTCTTTTTTTACCTTATTTTCAAGACATAAATATAGATAACAGGAAAAGAAGATATTTTTTAAAAAATATATAAATCAGTGAAAAAGCTGGTAATTTACGTTATTTTAAGAAGTCGTACTTCCTCTGTATTGTAGTTAACGCTTTTAATTAGCAGCTGTGACGTTTCTTATAACATTGTCGTGTCTTAAAGTTAATTGCACGGGATGTGATTATAATCATTCATTCTCATAAGACGTGTCTGTTTCATTAGGATTCATTTCTATTTGCTATATCTAATTTCTTTTTATCTTCTTATTTTTTAATTAAAACAGGGGCCTTTATCTAATTTTCTGGGATAGTGTCGCCTTGAATACTAGTATATCATTTTCAGCTGTTACGCTATCTTTATAACCCATATAAGGGTTCTTATTAAAATAATAAATACAATCGAAACAAGCATTTACAGGTATACTAGACTGAATTTGTTGCCGAATAAATGTTTTACTAAAAGACAAAGAATATAATCATTTCCTATTTTATAGGACAACCAAAAACATATAAAAAAAATAAAGCCTCATCAACTTTTAAAGATACCATTCGATTTGTTAACGAAACAATAACTACACTTTATATTCCTTTAAAGAAGATGTTATTCAATATCCCTTCATTAGCAGCAAAAACGATTTCGCCTCAGGTCAACATTCGGATATAACGACTAGGTTTTATTAATTAAAGATGGTATCTTCCATCCATATGTCGATTTCATATATGTAAGTAGTCTCGTTTAAAGTCGTCATTTCGTAAGTTCTACGAGGGCCGATCAAAAATTACGCGGTCTTGTTGCATAGAAAAAATATTTGACGACATAATCGAGCAAGATGTCATACATAATATAAAAGAATCTTTACTTATATGGTCTTCAAAATTTCATATCAAACTGTTTTTAATTGGTATAAATTTTGAGTGATTTATCAGGACATGTCATTTAGTCACGGAGCAGCAAAATCTTCGACGTCACAGGCATAATAAAAAGAATATGTGATTGAGCTTTGATTTTCTCAACATTTTCCCAAGAGTTCCTGTACAGTTTGAAGTACCATATCTACTCAACATCAAAACACCATTTTTTGTCAAGCTTAAAATCTATTAAACAAGTAAAGAATATTCTTTTTTCGTTTTAAAACCAAAAACTGCAGGTATTTATGAAATATAGTGTGGTATTGGTGACTCTCAATCATGTTCTATACAGTCCGAATAAATTAAAGTTTCCGTCGAAAATCTTCTTCCCGTCCTCCAGTATAGCCTTTATACAGTGGTCTAACGGTCTAAAATCTATTTGCTATTTGTGGACGAATGTCACGAATACCCTACTTTACTATACATGTTTTTATGCATATTTTAGATCAATGGTGCCGATATCTCGAGCATTACACATAATTTAACAAAAGTGTGGTGCGCTGTCAATTCAGGAGACGTCATTTTCACATTTCGTTTTCAAAGAAATCGCATCGGAGAAATATTACTATATTTCTGTTAATACTTCAAATATCACGTCAGAAATCTACATACATAATAATATAACAATTCAAAGATACATTTGAGAAAATTGCCGAAAAATATCGCAAATTATAGAAAATAAATGAGTTAAATGTTGGATTCCGCATGCTTTTGCTTCAAATGTTTTGTCTTGCTTCCTACCTATCCATCAGCGATATCAAAATACCGATAATTTTAGTAGAATTTTTTTAAAATACAGAAATTTTGCTCAAAATTTATTGGAATCTTAAAAAATACATATTTCTGTGAAATTTCATAACTATATGACGTCTGTAAGAGTAAATAATAGCAGAGTCTGCGTAATTTTTGAACGACCCTCGTATGTCGAAACAATGACTTTGTCATCAAATACAATTTATCATTCAGTCAAATGCTAACTGGCGTTTTTCATACTTATTGTTAGATCATTTTATATATGTACACACTGTATTGTCGATGGAATTATGCCTTATTTTCCGATCATGACAATGAGCAACCGTTGGATGTGACCGGTTGGCAGAGGATGCTCACTCCCCCATGGTACCTGATTCCATCCCTGGTGTTTTGGGGGTCCGTGTTTGCTTTGCTCTTATTTTTTATTGTTTTATTGACTTTCGAACTTGAATACTTTACGTCTTCTCCATACACAGTATTCCATTTTATCCCAAAGAACTTGACATAAAAGGATCTATCAAATCATCTTTATAATAGTATGTTTACCGACTTTAGTGAATAAGGGCCAACCTGCATCAAGATTTAAAGACAATAGAGTTTACATCATATTTTACATCGTCACTTTTTCTTATTCATACATGTATATACACTGTAGTAATACTCCTTTATCATCATTTAGTGTTGACAACTTCCCACACATTCTCTACTACACAGAATGTTCCGAGTTTTTTTTTAAATCCGAGGAAGCTAGTAACAAATAATTCAATGTTGCGGGAATTTCAAAGTCAGCATTTCCTAGACTTTGTGTGACGTAGATTATGAAAAAGAAAATCATCCGTTATTATTTTGGCTTACCCTAGTTTTATGTATAATTGATTCAACAGGAAAATCATGAAGAAATTTTCATCTGTTTCATAAAAAGCGAAATGCGTTATTTTAGTAATTATAAATGACACGCTTGTTAACCTTAAAGTGGTAACCAGAAAACGTAGAACACATAGTTTAGGAAATAAACAAATATATAGATCGAGATTGAAGAAGTAAAGAAACAACATCTGGGAAATTTATCTGCAACTAATTTCTACGATGCCAACTTTAAAAAAAATGTAGAAAGAACATGATAATATGAAATATGATAAAGCATCTACAATTTTTTCTAAAGCTGTATATTTTCTCAAGTATCAATTTCTCAAAAGTATATTTTAAATTATGAAAATGGTAAGTATATAAGTATAATTTTCCTATGTGTTGATTTGATTTTCAACACAGTGTTACTGCATGTACAACTTTAACCTTGACGATGAACTTTTGAACTGTGTTCAAATAAATAGCGTGATGTGATGTGTTATTTAAATAATTATAAATGACACGCTTTCTCAGCCTCCTAGCAATCCCCAGCAAATCTACATGTCGAACAGCGCTAGTAACATGTGTAAAGAACACAAAAAGGATACTACAATGTAATAAAGAAGTTAGACTTAGTTATTTTTCATTATAATTGAAATAAATGTACTTATTTAAAGTTTTAAGTCTTATATATATCTATGAAAAAAAATCGACTAAATATAGCATTATAAAAATGTTTCGATAATATTATTTAAATATGAGAAGTCATCTATACAGATTAAATCTTTAGCTGTAGATTTCCTCAAGATCGTTTTTCAATAATAAAATGGCAAGTTTTATCTTTATAAGAATTGATTACTTGCTACAAATCTAATTTCAACCTTGATGAAGAACTATTAAGCTGTGTTTATAATCATGTGATGTATTATTTAAATAATTATGAATGAAACGTTTTGTCACCCTCTAGGCTATCATCAGTAAATCCAGAACAGTGTTAAAACTTAAAAGATGCTGCAGTAGTTAAACTTAGTTCTTCTCATTATAATTAAAATCAATGCAATCTGATTTGATTTATTAGTCTTAAAAAATATTATTAAATATCGACAAAATTCAAGATGATAATAAAATGTGCGTTTTTAATCTTGTAAAGAAAAAAAATAATTATCATCATGATCTTTTAATAGATTGATGTTGATAAATCAGGTAGTTCGTGCGCAGCTACTGATAAAGGTTCGCAAGCACAACAAGTGTTCCTGATCAATAATTTTGTCCGTGTAACTACTAGTAGTATATAAAGAGGGGAGAAACGGGAAAAACGAACGTGTGTTCCATTTTGTTCAGTGTTTTTTTTCTTTGTTGAAAAATCAAATTCTGTGATCTTTTTTTCATTATTATTACAGATTTACAAATTAATGTAAGCTGTCATACATCTTTTATTTCACTAGAAGCTGAATGATTTGATATTCATTGTTAATAAACTCTCTTGAGGTCCAGCTAAATATTTTTCGTGGGATACTTCGATTCCTTAGACGTGATTATTCTTGCCAAGCACTAACTCTTTTTCCAATTTTACTTGAAGGAGAGCACCTGCCTTACACAAAGAAAACAGACAAAGTGTTCTATAGTAAACATGGAGTCATTTCTTAGAAAACAGTCTGCATACTGAAAACAAAACGACAAGAAGTTTGTCTGTAGATTAACTGTGCAAAAAACGATTTATAAACAGTGAATTGAAATTGTGGAGTTCTAAAGTAGAAAGATGACTGGAAATTTTAGTCTGTTTCAACATCCTTTGTACAAACGTGTCCATGCTTGGTCCAAACTACAGTGCATCGACAATGTGATATCTAAACCTCAACCTAACAATGGTAAGTATACATGTTTATGACATATATTATAATTTAATTACGGTCATCGTTAAATCAAAGAGATAAGCTCTTTTTATTTTAAACGCTACGATCAAATTTCAAACCAGAGTCAGTGCAATTAGTAAAGAAGATCATTTCATTATAATTAATAAAAAATCATACTAAATAGATAAAACTATTTTTTGAACTATTTTTATAGAACTAATACCTTATTTAAATTATCAATTAATATGAGAGAGACTTGCTTTGTACTTTTTTTTAACTTTAATAAAATTCTTTCTTCAAGTAAAAAAAAAAAAACAAGAATATTCTCATCGAAGATAAGTGTGGCTGATATTCTTCATCCCGTATGAAAAAAGACACAAATACATGTATGTAAATTAGATTTTGAGGTAGATTTTCACTTCCTTGTTGAGAGAAAAATTAAAATGAGGAGGCAAAACCGAAGATCAATGAAAGTAAATGAGAAATCAATAATTGACCAATTCCCTAATTTTAATATTTTTCACAAAAAAAGTATTCAATGACAAAATAAAATATCAACATAGCGAATATAACTCATGTTAAAAAGTTCATTGAAAAGGAGCAAATATGGACCCTAAACACATCAGACGCAATATCAGATCAGGTGCCAAAGAGATTAAACATCCCCTGCCAACATGATTGTGAAAATGAAAAAAAAGTACTTATTCAAGCATGAATTCATTGGGGAAAATTTTAAGAAAGGCGTCACTCATTTGACTTATTGTTTGATTGTATGTTGTTTAATGTCCTCTCGAGAATTTTGCACTTATATGGAGACGCCACCATTTGCCGGTGGAGAGCTGCAAATTTTGTCCTATACTTGTCACTTGGGGATTGTTTTATAACACATTTGCAGATGTCCTTTGCTAAACAACCTGCAGCTGATGAATGACAAATTAGGGTCTGTTTGACAAGAAATATCATAATTTTCAAGTTTTTTTTTTAACATCTGTCGACATTTTAAGGTAAATGTCCCTTTAAAATCATATAGACCAGTCAAGGGTTAGACCTCTGTTGATACGTACATTTGCTGTAAGAGGGTTTCGTAAATTTTTATCATTATTGATCCGTTCAGTTTTATTTCTTTTGTGCGTGCAAGATGAGAGGGTTTGACCTGGTGTCTTAAGATTCTTAGATATCAAAGGAATTGATACATAATTCATGCACTATTTCCAGTTCAACTTTTTCAAACGGAAAATATGTAGACATGCAAGAAAATAAATGGGTGATGTTTAAATACCTACTTTTTGCTGTTTCGTAATATCATCAGAAATTAATAAATTATTTCTGTGTAACCATTTTTTTTATTTAAACTGACCTAGACGGCGTTTTAGAGATAACCATATTATTCTTCAGACAAATTTATTGAATGACAAATGAGGCTCAGTTATAGTCGCAGACATGACGATGAATTATGTCCATTGACAATTCATATAAAAGTCATTAAGACTACAGTCTGCAGTTAGGGTGACTAAGAAAACTAAACTTTCATAAGTACCTGAATGCATAGGAAATAATTTACAAAGTGCCAAAGCCTTGAGATTCTTTGAATTTAATGTCACTTTGTAATTCTTTTTATTTCATGTCTAATGGCATCAGGAATGTATAAGGGAAAGATAGCTACCACTGCTACAATTTATCTCCAATTTTGGAATTTATTTATAAAAGTTCTTTGGACAGCAACCATATACATGTACCTTAGATTTGGAAATATTATCATAAAAATTACTGAAGTGAAAAAAAATTACATCGCTTGCATTGGTTCGTTTCTCTTTTTAGCTCCTCTCTGAACATGTGAACATTAATACACTATTGTAACTATATAAATGTTTTAGTATACTTATAACTATAGCTTACGTTGTAAGTACAACTGTACTGAGAATAACTGGTTGTCCTTAACAGACAAGATGATTTTTGCCTTAAGTAAATGTTAAGGTTGTGATTTTTTTTTTCTGCGTTACTATTGAAAATGGAACAAAGTCGATGCACTTTTTAAAGCTATATTTTTATTTATGTCATCTTTATTGTGATATAAGCAAAAAAAATTATGTCATATTATTGTACTTTTACAGTTAAAAAGCACTCTGAATCTGAGTTATGCCAGATGTCCATATAATGTATAATAAATGATTGATTGACCAACTTCTGCTCACCATTCTGCGCATTACATTTTAGTGATTTTAAGGTCACAAAGATATTTAATGTCCACAACATCGTAAACAACATCTGTATTCATATAAATTTCAGTTAAATATATTTATTAGGAAAAGGATATTATGACAGATAAAAAAGCTTCGGATTGCAGGGAATAAAAAAAATACATGACTACAGATAAGTGTGCAAGTTTGAATGAAATGAAGATTGAAGGTCAGAGTAAAATAGATTTATTAGTACTGGTTTCAGAGCAGATATATTGTACCGTATAATTTCTTTGATAACATTTTCAGGACTGTTGTATTGCACGCCAAGACATGATCACTTTATGGGGTGTTGGAATTTTACGTTGGCAGGAAGTAGGGCTTATCTCCCATGTCCAGAGTTACCGGGCTTTGCACCAGAGAGTGGGAACCTTTCACATTTCTCGATAAATTACAGTTCACAAATGAGAGTGTCTAAATAGGAATGAAAATCAAATAATTTCAAATTTTAAAAAAAAAAATATATTAACATAAAGGTGGTCTAATTTATATGTTGATAGTACATGTACTTTTGATTTCTGAAAGAAAAATAAATGATTTTGCTATTTTTTCTCCGCTTCAATATTGAAGCATTGCAAATACTTTCATCTTTTGTATGTACATGTTCTTGTTATATTTAAAAATTGAGTTAATTTTTTGTTGCATGATTTTTTTCTTCAGATTTTGCTTACTTTGACTGTCTCTCCAATGGTTCCTGGTATGTACACCCATCTACAGGAAAGGAGTATGCTAATTATCTGGGATGTAGAAACTACCAGAGAGTATTGAAAGCAAGTATAACACACTACTCTAAAAAAATAATGACAATTTACGAATAGAAGATAAAGATTAGCATATACCTGGGTATGTAGCAGATCAAATAATTATATATATTTCGAAAAAAAATCTGAAAATTATAATTATATTTGTCAAATATACCATTTTGTAATGGAAACCGAAGGTGTTTTGCCTGAAAGCCACATTTTCGCACATATGTTCCTTAAAAAAAAATGTAAATTTTTCAATTAAGATAATTGAAAAATTCAAATTTTTGTAGAGGACAAACCTGCTTGTTAGTACTATTCGTTATCAGTATTTTTTCTTAAATTTTTAGGAGACAGAAGATCATTTTTTACATGTATATGTTTCCATTGCTGGATTCAGTATATCCCTCCTATTGCTTATTGCTGCACTTGTTATTTTCTTCAGTTTCAGGTAAAGAACTGTATTCTTTTTTATATTTAGGGTGAATTTTTTTTTGGTATTATTGATTGTACAAGAGCTAGAGGGTCATTGCTGAAATGGAAAAGATTGTTATAAAATACTTATTAATCGGGATTACCATTTTCCTGGAATTGTAAAAAGTAACTTAAATAAATATGATATTTAATTAAGAGAAATACTTCGGTTTATATAATTTTTAAGCACTCTAAAAGGTTTACTAGAAATTTCAGTTTCATTTTTTTTCCAGGCAATTAAATTGTGACCGAGTAGCAGTACACAAGAACCTGTTTCTATCTTACGTCATCACTGATCTATTCAACGTCATCTACCTGTCTGTCGTCTGCTTAAGTGAGAGTGTTCTGATGCAGAATCCGGTAAGTCAAAGATATAACATCTATAAGTTATAAATATTCTTCAAATGGTGCTCGTAAAGAAAACATAATTTTCATTGCGTTTACTTTACAGTATGACTATGATCCAAATTTCCATCTTTTATGTTATGATTTATTGAAAAATGTAGAAGTAAAAGCACTTTCATTGAATCATATTATACCGATTGACAGTCGGGTGATTTCAAGAACGGTAAGATAAATAAACTTATGCAAACAATGGATGATTGGGTTTTTGAGGAAGCAATGTTGTTTAACCTTTACGTCTGTTCTCTGAATGTTTATAAATACCATGAGCATATATTAAACAACCTGTCCCAGTTCTGTTATCAAACATTAGTGTTATTAATGACTACATAAAAGTTTAGCTATGGTAGAAAAGTATGCTTGTGATACCTTTTTACAATTGTTAACTACAATTGCTATTATATCAAATACCGCTACTTCGATATTTTGGTACACTGTTTTACTATGGGATCTACCCCATGCAGAAGTTTTATCTTAGATTGAAAGCGTTTATATTAGTTTCACAAACCATTCAAGTGATGTATGATTTTGAAATAATTACTAGTAAATGCAATATAAAAATATGAACCTCATGAGAAAAAAAATTAACTAAACAATATATATATTTATTATTATACTATAGTAAAAGATTTATCAAATGTATAAAAGTGTAAACGTAATCTGTTTTTCTACTTGTTAAGGAATATGAAAAGAAATCACGACCATGAAATATGACCGAATTTTCATGATTGAAGTGATGGATAAATAAATCTAGGATTTTACTGCACTAATGTCATTATCCTTTTTTACTACAACAATGTGTAATTCTGCAGTAGATCGTGACAGTATGCTTCTTTTCTGATCACTAATATGCGTCTTCCATTGGTTATCATTGTCTTATACAACAGTATAAGGCAAAAGATTTTAAAAATATATATCAAATCATGATAATAGTATTCGGAGAGTACATGGGTGATCTTTGTTTACATGAATTAACTAAATGAATCTAAAACCGATACCAAATTCTGAAAATTTATGAGGCCTTGAGTTATATTAATATGCACGTATGCAGACTATAAGTGCAGGTAGCATAAGCATGACATGTGATGAATATCTGTTATTTATGAAAAAAACTTTCTAATTTCAATTACATTCCGATTCCTAACCCGGTTTCCAATCGCCTTGGAAAATTGAAACACTAAAAAAAAGAAATTGGCAAATTTTAAGGTTTTTATCAGAAGGATTATATAAGAAACACTTTCCTCTGGCATCTTGCACAAATGCCTGGTAAGGTACATTGTACCTCATTACATGCATGTCAAAGTAGCAATACTTCAATGACAAAATCTTGTAAAAGATTATATATTACCGGGTTCTAGTAATAAGGAACATATAGTCTGTCCTTAAGCTCAAAAGACAATTAAAAGAATACAAATTGGAAAAGGAGCAAACAGGGACCACTAAAATCATCAGAGAATCGATCAGGTGCCAAAGAGTATAGAACATCTTCTTTCGACCGGTCACACCCGCCAATTTAGTGTGAAATTTTAAGTAATGACCACACAATGTGTAAAAGACATATCACCCAAATCAGTCATCAGAAATCTTGAGATTTACTCAAAATATTTACAATGTATAAAATTCTGTCACACTGATTAAAGAAGTCGACCTAATTCTAAACATAGACGATCCTCTGATTATCTATCGATAAACTATGTTCATGACATTTTAAGATTCTTATTTTCATAATTTTATTCTGAAAATTATCGTTTTGAAACTTTTTCCATGTTTTTTCTTCAGTTGTGGTGCCAGGTATTACACATTATAACACAGTATGCTGTAGTGAGTAACTTTGCCTGGATGTTTTGTGAGGGTCTCTTCCTACATACCTTAGTCATGAACGCCCTTAAACCTGGAAACTACGTTATTGTTGCCTGCTTTATCATAGGTTGGGGTAAGTATAGAATTAATTAGTGCTTAATTGTGTAATTTTATTATAAGCCAGAGAGATCTTTTATCATTTTATTGCTTCGTGAAAAAGTGATGGAAATTGGGTCAGTATACATCACTATTATACTATCATGACTATGGAATCAACAAGCTCAAGATGTTATGTGTATGACCTTTTCTCGATAAATTGGGTTTTGATCCGACGAGTACGAACCAGTAAAAGTTGGTGCGTGCCAACAAACATTGAATTTTAGCAAAAATTAATATGTTGGCATAATTAATTTTTTCAGTACTCTTTGGGAACATATAGATTTCAAATACTGAAATGGGACATCTAGGTTAATTTCTTCTGACTTGTTTTCGGAAGATACATTTTATTCATTTTTCTAGAATTTTCCTTTCCGTGACTTAATTTGTCCTTCAAGCACTAACTCTTTGGACTATTCTGAAGAACTGACTCTGATGCTTAGACAAAGATAGATTGAAGGCTTTTAAGTAACAAAAAATATTTTTATTACAGTAGTTCCCTTGGTGTTGACAGCTGCCTACGCCGGAATCAGGGCAACACTGTCGGACAACATACAATTGTACGTTAATAACTTTCTTAACCATGCTAAGACCAGATTGTCATAAACGTAAACATAATATATCTTAATTCTTTTCCATCAGACACCATCAATATTTAGATTTGTCATAATTCTATCTTTTTCTGAAGGGATTTATAGTGTAAACCTTTTCTTTATTTTTTCTGTAATATCTTCTGAATAATGAAGGCGATTTTATTTCATTTTTCAAGGAAATTTTGTCATCCAGACAATAAAAAAATCGAAACATATTTCATCAATGTCTAAATTTTCTTCACCCCCTTTTTCCCCCTTTCCTATCATGAAATGGATTTTTTTAAAGTTAATTGTTTCTTGCAACAAAACTCTTTTTTTTCTTAATCCACCACTCTTTATTGCAAAAATAACTTAGTACATTGTAACGTCTAAAAGTACATGAGTAGTCTAGGATTTAACCTATTGTAATGCCAATGTTTTCTATTTATCTTAAAGCAAAAGACTGAATGATGAATAACACTGATAAAGACAATTTGTTTTATAAATCACACATTGCTTTTCCTACAGCTGTTGGTTATATGAAAGTTCCCTGCAATGGATCACCTTTGCACCGGTTGTCCTTTCAATGATGGCAAGTTATCTTAAAAGTGAATTTGATCCTTTTTTCTTTTTTTTTTTTTTTTGCTTGCTTGCTTTATCTTGATTGGATGTATGGACATAATCAAACGTTCTTTGAAAGAATACATTTCGAGAAAAAAAAAGAATATTAATCGAACACTTCATAGCTATATTGAAAGTTTATCACAATGAATAATTTATCATGAACAAATTTGTTAATAATAGCATATTCTTGACTTTGTTAATAATATAATTTTTTTTTCTTTCAGGTTAACGTCATATTTCTTATCAATATCATGCGTTTACTTATAACAAAGCTACGACAACTTCCTGAGGCGACTCAAACTAGGTATCTTAAAGTCTTTTCTAACACTGAAATTAAAACAATTGATTTAAACCTTTTAATTTGTAAAAACAGTTCTTAAAATAAAAAAAAACGAATATTACAAACAGTGATCGATCTAAAACAAAAGAAATCTGTCAAAATGGCAATAAAACACAGACCCCTGAAAATTTCAAAAGGTGCAATCAGATGCCTATAGGAGGAGTAAGCATCTCTACGACCGGTCACATCTGCCGTGAGCTCAAAGAAAAAAGCGGTTTTGGAAGAAAATGATGCATTGTCATTCTTTTGTCGTTTGACATTCACTTAACTTGGGTGTATAAATCTTTATTATTTGATTTATTTTATAACTGTTCAGATTACTTTGTCAAAATCCATATCTGGCCAAAAGTGTATGATGGGAAATTTTGCCAAAATATTATTCAATTTTTATCCTCTGTAATTGAAGATCGGAGTATATATTTTTTGCCCTGTCCGTCCGTCTGTCTGGCTAATTGTCTGTTTGTCCGCAAAAACTTTAACCTTGTCCATAACTTTTGAGCAGGTGGGGGCTATGGCTTTCATATTTCATAGGTCAGATGTACTTCTACATTAGGTACCACCAAAATTAACTCCTGTCCTTGCCCTTGGAGTTTTACCCACTTCTACCATTTTTTTCCGAACTTTAACCATAGCCATAAGTTTTGAATAAATAATGCTAGGACTTTCATACTTCATATGTTTATGAACTGTGACTAGACATTTCATTAGTTTTGAAAATATTTGACTCTTTGACCTTAACCTTAGAGTTTAGACCACTTTTAAAAGACATTAATAGCCATTCTCTGTAACCACTTAAACTTCGTTGCCACGCATGGTCACCGATTTTGATGAAACTTCACCCATGCTTAGAAAATGACATCAGAAACAAATATCAAACAAAATTTCGTTGCTATGTGTCTCGGTTGCTATGGCAACAGCCGGAAAAGTTTGAAAAATCGAGATTTTCAGCCACTTTAAATCTTGATTGTGGCTTAATAAAAACTAAAAAAAGCAAATAAACCATTCTCACAAAAACATGACACCTTGATGTCACTTATACTGTAAAGAAATTGTTTAGAATATATCTCTAAGTAAGTGGTAACCAAGGTTACATTTGGAATACATTTAAAATGCTGAAATATGCTGAAAAACACTCTGAATTCACTAATGGTAGGTGTTACATGCTCAAACTAAATCAAGGACTTAAGAAAAACAATGAAAATGTTTGACCTTAAGTATATAAGTATAAGCAATATTATTCTATAAATAACTTTTATGGTTGCCATGGTAACACAGTGTAACCATGCAAAACAAGTAACTAAGATTGGGTTAATGCTACTGTCTTGAGGAAAAACATGAAAATTCAAGACTGGCTAATATACATCCTTAGGACCTTGCAACACCAAAACCATAAGAAAAATTGGGTATAATTGCTACTTTGCAGTGTTACCATGGAAACAAAGTACCAGTGCTTAAAAGTGAATTATTTTTCGCTGCATTAAGAATTAAATTGCCATTTAATCAAGAAACAAATTACAAGACTCAGCTTGAATAGTACTTATCTGTTAGAACTGAAGTTGAATATCATATATTGATAAAATTTGATGAAGAAAACAACGCTGTTGCTATGGTCACCAAGAAGGGAAAATGTTCGATTTTGTAAACTTTATATTAGTATTAAACCCTGCGTGCCAACTTCTTGCATCCACTTAGAGATTGGATGATAGTCAAAATTAAAAGTCAAGTTAGCTGTTAATGAATATCAATCATAAAAGTTTTGGGAATCTACATTTAAGGGTACGTATCCAAGAAAAGAAAATATTTTTCAGGTTTTTAAGCATATATTTTCTGCTTATTTCCATAGCAACGCTCTATTTAAAGAATCTAATCTGATTTTTTTCAAACGGGAAAACTTGAAGCACACCAACATCTTTAAAAATTGATCATCAGTTATGAGGAAATGTGCTTTTTTAAAAGATTGGATCGGATTTAAACATACAGAGTGTTACTTTGAAGGCTCTCTGTGGTATAAAAACCTTGGCAACCATTGCCAACCAAAATGAAATATCATATTTTGTTCTTGGTATATGTTTCAAGGCTCTTTTTTCTATTATTTGGTCACATTTCATCCTTTAATTGCTTTTTTAATTTTACGTGTATGACTTTATAAAATTCAATGAATATTTTCTTTTACTTTTGAATACTTTGTTACCATAGTAACGTATGTAGTAGTTGATTTACCAAACATGTTTATCATGCATTTGAGACATCTGACCTCCAACTTTTGGAAACAGTCATTGCCAATTGTTTTCTTTGCCGTAAATGTTAACTATGGGGCTCTAAACATGTTTGAAAATGCCATTTTTGAACTTTAAGACATGTTGCCATGGTAACTATAAAACATAGCAACCAATTTTTGCCTGATTTCAGTTAAGGGTATCAATGACTTTTATCATAGAGAGTTTGGAGAAATTCTGAGACTATGCGTGCCACAGCTCCTATATAAAATTTCAAATCATTACAGAGAATGGCTCTTAACCTTTACCATAACTTTTGAACTGTTAGCACTACGGGTTTCATATTTCAGGTGTACTCCTTCTGATAACATCTTTCTTCGGACAGCAATAATTTTGATTTTTTTTACCTTGACATTAGAGTTTAACTCACTTACAAAAACTTAAATCCGACCATAATTTTTCAATCGTTAGTCTAGGGTTTTCCTTTTTCACAGGTGTATTTCTTGTTAGAAGACCTTCCAATGGGTACTTACAATTTTTGCTTTGACCTTAGAGCAAAACTTGCATTTTTAAAATAATTTCAACCCTTGCCATAAGCTGCCAAGGGCATCAGTGTTTCACAAACACATTTTTATGGCTATTACTGAAACTGAACTTCGGTTCAATTAATACCGTTGTTCTGCTTTGTTTTAGTTCAACTCATTATTCAAAAGCTTCAAAAGTGAGAAAAAGGGTAGCACTTTGAAAATTAAAACACTGGAATAATTGATAAAATTTTAGTCAAATATATAATTGTGTTCCTGATGTTTTAAGTGTGACTTTGATATAAAAAATATGAACATATTTTAACTGAATGGTTGCCAATCAAAAATGAAGTTTCTATTATCCTCCTCTGTTGCACAGGAAGTATTGTCCAATGACGTCAGATCAGGTGTTAAATCACAATCCTAAGTGATCTTGAGACGGTTTGATGTCTCTGTATAGCTAGACCTCAAAGATCCATCATGATATAACGGAATACGTCAAGAATTTATAGAATAAACGCTTTTATTCTTGATGTTGACTATATCCAATATTAACGTTTTCTTCAGTCCTGTGTCAAGATGTTATAAATAAGCTATCCATCTTTAGATGTTACATGACATAAGGTTCTTAAAAGCCTCTTAAGTGTAACCATGTTAATTAAACCTAATGCTTTCTCTAAACATAATAATGAGAGAGAGAGATATACATCACTTTATACAAAAATTCCTGCATTTTTTTTTTTTTTTTTTTTTGGATATACGGGTATGAAGTTCATAGATTGGTAGATCGACCTTCTCCAGACAGAGAGAATCTCTTAATGTACTATATTTACTAGTAATTTGTTATGCCATTACTTACAAACTGAAATGTCAGCAGATTTTTCTCGTTTGTCCGATCAAGATAATGATTACACGGTTGGTGTTACCGGTCGACAAGGGATTCTTGCTCCTTTATGGCATATGATCCAACCTCTAATGTCTTAGGGAGTCTTTGTTTGCTCTTCTTCCATTTAATATTGTTTCGTTGATTTCTTTATATCATTACATTTTTTTAATCACTTTCTTTTTTTGTTCAGGAAAGCAGTAAGAGCAACGGGGATTTTAATTCCATTGCTTGGTCTGCAATTTCTACTTTTCATAAAGCGTCCAAATGATAAAGAATCCACACTGTATGACGTATACACTTATGCAGTATCGGTGGTTGTTTCATTACAGGTAATTATCACATATTACGTTGTAATATAAGATACATACCGATAATTAACATTTCAGGAATTCTAAATCTAACTTTAGATTTTCACAGTAATTATGACTAGATATACATGCATTCAGTATTATTCCTCACTTATAATCTTGATGTTCGTTACTTAACATAAATAAATTTAAGTGAATAATACGTACACCTCTGGAAAGCCTAATATTTTTTCATTGCTTTTTATCTTGCAGGGAGCTTTTGTTTCCATTCTCTATTGTTTCTGCAATGGCGAGGTAAGAAAAAAAAATTCTAACATTACCTTTTAAAATATACATGTACATGTATAGTAAGTTTAAACAAAATTTTAAAAGTTAAAATAAGAATGAAAAAACTTAACAGAAATTGATTTTTAATACATACTGAATTAAATATAAATAGACACTTTTTTTAATTTATCAAAAAACTCATGATGAAAGAAAAAGGTTGCTTGAATGAAGTTTCTTCATCTCAAAAATGCTGCGCTTTGTGAACCTTTACATAAAGGACATTTTTCTTACAGGTTTTGACGTTATTACAGAGGAGATGGTATCAACACAGAGTATCGTTACCAGGGAAACGGAAGCGCGCGCAATCTTGTTCCGGGTCCACCATGTATACGTTTATTGATCCAATGTCACAAGGAAATTCCAACATGCTTTGATTTCCAAAATACTATAAATTTTAGTTTATAAAAGTATATATTCATTAAATAAAATATGGCAAAAACGAAAAATCTTATCATTTGTTCTTCACCATTGTTGGAAACAATGTCAAAATATTTATATTCTTCTATTTAAAAATAAAAGATTTGTTTGTAAAACACTGAAGCATCCAAATGCATGGCAGCTGATAGCGAAGGTAAAAGTTTCACAAATTCAAGTCAAACTCCAATACCAAGTTCAAGAGATCAAAAATGTTGAAAACCAAAAGAAATTAAGGACTATAGTCTCGGTGAATGTATATTTGAATTATGAAATTCCAAGCACTATAATATCCCTTCAAAAGTTCTGGTTAAGGTTAAAGTTTTTTTTAAAAAGATGCTCAAACTCCAAGGTTAAGGTCAAAAGGTAAAGATTACATTTGATACTAGCCGGCTGGAGAAGACCTTGTCGTAAGAATACACACGTGAAACATGAAAGTCCCAGCCCAACCTTCCAAAGGATAAAAATTTCTAAAAGTAGGTAAACTCCTAAGAGGTAAAAATCGTTGGGTAATCCAAAGGAAATTCTTGTCACATAGAATACACTTACCTTTCGAAAAGTTATGGACAAGGTTATAGTTTTTTAAAAGTGGTCAGACTCTAATGTCAAAGTTAGAAATATTTACAATACACAATGAACTTGAGGTCTTTTAATAATAATATATGCTTATAATATGCATGTGAAGTTTTACAGATTGTATTATGTATAGTATCAACTTAATGCAAACGTTCTGGCCAATATGGTAATTTTTTGCAAAAAGTTGGTTAACCACCAAGGACAATAGGTTAAATATGTTGGTACCCAGAGAAAGGTCTAATGTCACAAAGAATAAACAGACTGACATATAGCTGCTCTTATCAACAGTGCACTGTTAGGTTAATTAAAATGTGAGTATTTTTCAGAACTATTCTGGGGTTAATATAGTTTTGATCTGTCCTTTCATCCGTCCGTGTAGCTGTCAGCAAAACTAACCTTGTCCAAAACTGTCGAGTTAAGATGGGGCTTTAAATAGCTTTTACTTATATTTGTATTCCTCGTGACAAGACTTTTCTTTGGGTTTCACCAAATTTGACCTCTTGACTTTCACCTTTGAGTTTGACCCACTTTTATAACAAATTACCACATTTAAATTTCAGCCATAACTTTTGAACAGTTGGAGCTAGGTTTTTCATACTTGTAATCTGTTTTCATTGTATCAAGGTCTTTCATTGGGTATCGATACTTTTGACCTTGACCTAAGAGTTTAACCCTCTTTTAAAAAGACTTTTGATTTAAAAACAATATCTATATGTGTTTGTGTAATCAAACACACGTGCTTCCGTATGGCAGCTTATGGTGGAGGCTCTCAAATACATGTACAAGAAAAACTTCGAGATCAAGGTCAAAAGATCGTTGTTATTGTTGGTATCAAGAGGAAGGTGGAAAATGAATAGAACGCTATGGTCAAGGTCAATACATGAAGGTAAAAAATATTTACACCAGTTGAAATGTCTCGACACAATGAAAGAGCATGTGTAGTATGGGAATTCTATATTCTCATATGGAGAACAGACCTCTGTATGATCGTGTAGACATACGTAGTACATCTACTAATTATTTTCTAAAAATAAATAAATAAACCACTGTGTTGCTACAATCATTTTTGGTGGCCAACCATACATGTAATTAAATGTCAACATAATATAAATAGAAGATAAGGATGAGGTGAGGAAAATTGCAAATATCAACAAAAAGAGGGTGATTTTGTTCTATAACTTTGAACATAAATTATAGATTAAATATAAATTAAGATGTGAAGGGGGATTAAATACATATTTGGAAAGTGTATATGTGTATTAAAATTTAATTTTAAAATGAACACAAGGGGGGGGGGGGGGGAGGGGTGAAATAATTTAGTTTTGCTACATTGTTTTTTTTTTTTAGTTTGAAATATTGTAAAATTGAAATATTGTAAATAATTGCTGTTTACACCGATTAGAATTAAATTTTAGATAATGTTTTAAATTAGCAGTAGTACTGTACAAAGTTAAAAGCCTACAGGAATACTAACCTAGGCATTAAACATAATAATTGGCAAAAGATAAGTACATACATTTTTGAATACCAACAGATTCTATGTATTTGTGTGTGCATATATGTGAACAAAAATCAAAATTTAATAAAGAAAATGACCAGGAAGGAGGGAACACTTCTAGTATACCGGTCCCCATAAATATGGCGCTAAAACAGGTGACGAAGAAATGCCTGATAGGACTCAAAGTGCAATGCTATTAAAATTGCGTGATTTTTGTGAGAAATACAGGGATTTAACAAATGTTAGCTAATTACTAATCATCAATGGATTGAATTGTGCATCATTATTGATTTGAAAGGAAAAATATTCTGAATATTTGGACATGATTAGGAGGTGAGGATATCGAGCTGCAGTTAACGGTAAGTCGCTTTTACAATAACTTGCCTAAACTCAGCGCTGAAAATCGTCATGTTTTGACAATAGAGTTGATTTACCCCAACTTTCATTTCTTAAACTTTCCTGTTCTTTGTAAAGCAAAAATTTCATGAACTAAACCAAAGTGTAAGATATCGGCACGATTCGACAGGCTGATTCATGCAAGTTTTTGGTCACTAAAGGCACTCATAGTGCCTTTTGTGAGCAAAAATTACATATTATAAATCAGCCCAAAGTCAGAAAGATTAGCCTACAGAGTGGATTTATAAAACAACCCCAATTTTTAAAACTAGGCCTATATAACCTAACCCTAATCACTCGATCGGATTCTGCATAGCAACGGCAAGGGAAATAACTGCTCATGCGCAATCGCGTGATTCTGGGGACCGGCATACTAGAAACTTCCCAAAGTGTTCGTGTAATATATAAGTTAAGTAATATATCTAACATTAATCTTATAGTCTTAGCCAAGGAACTTACCTATGACATACTCTAAGACGGCCTTATTTATTTGTTAATTTTCTTTTGTTTTTCTACACAATTTTAAATTCTTCTGTAATCTTCTCTGTTGATTTTCATCATGGCGATTTGACAGCGCCTTCTCTGTTGATATGACGTCATTTTATACGCCATGACGTAACAATACCCCGAGATTTACAGAGCCCTAATTAGAGTCATTATTTATTGAAGAAATAAGGTATCACTTATATTTACATTTGTGACTTATTCATACTTTAAACTTGCCTGATTGTGACTTTTAACGTGTGAAATGCATTAATTTTCAAACCCAGCGGCATGTGTGTAATCCACTGACCGCGCGTCGACCCTATATGACGTCACAGAAAAATTACGTCGAACGTTTATCCATACGAACATCTATGACCTCTTGATCCCGTACCTGTATTTATACAGTTATAAAAACGCTTGCTTTCAGTAGTGTTATATAAAGGAAAACATTTGCAAATATAAATATATAGATATATAGTATAGAACAGATTGTTTTAAATACAAGCTAATTCAGAGAATTCGTGTCCCCCGCTTAGGGAAAAAGTCGGATCCCCCTGACTTATTAAATGTATATACATGTATACTGATGCAAATAAAATACATGTATGTCAATATGCGTATAAAGATTTGATTGCTTATTCTCTATTATGTGTATAGAAGATTATTTTTATATGGAATATTTATCACACTGTAATAATGATTTTCATTACCTCATAAATTCTTCTTTTCACATGCTGAATACTATCATTAAAAAAAAAAGAAAAAAAAAATTGGGTCGTCCGAGACTCGATCCCGGGGCCTCTAACTTTTGAAGCGGGAGACATACCTCTAGGCCACGGAGGGTCTTCAAGACCCGGTGCGTAAATGCAGAAGTGAAGTCACGTACATGTATATATTCATGCTCGATATTGTCAAAATTTTACACAATCCATGGTGTTTGATTTATTTACCCTTTATTAAACAGTTCTAATAGATGTTATAAGAACATAAAGTCCGCCGAGAACCTGTTTTATACGCAATAACTCTCCGCACGCCCCTGTGCTAAAAATAGCGACAAGTAATACTATAAATACTAATAAAACAAACGGGGCGGGGCACTTTGAGAGGGGTGAGAGAGGTCCTAGGGAGTTTTGGTATAAAATTACATTGCATAAGCTCAAAATCTTCTTGAAATATCGCCCGGAAATGATAGTGTTACACACATACAGAATGTATAAAGTTACGACCTTGAACTTTGACCTTTTGACCTCAAAATCAATAGGGGTCTTCCATAGGCCACAGGGAGTTGTTATGCAAAATTTCATTGCAATAGCTCAAATGGTTCTAGAGATATCGTGTGGAAACGAAAGTGTTATAACAGACAGACTTTGCTTATTTATGACCTTGACCTTTGACCTTTTGACCTCAAAATCAATAGGGGTCTTCTTTAGTCCATAGGGAGTTGCTATGCTAAATTTCATTGCAAAAGCTCAAAGGGTTCTCGAGATATCGTGTGGAAACGAAAGCGTTACAGACAGACAGAAAGACGGACGGACGGACGGACGGACAGACGGACGGACGGACGGACGGACGGACAAACCCAAATTAATATCCCCCACTTTTCAAGCGGGGGACAAAAAAAAATTAGAGGGAGATTGAAATAACCTTGACTTTTAATATATTAAAGAGGAGTTGAGAATAATATTGAATTTTAATATGTAATTTTGATAAAAATTGTGTAGAAAACCAAAAGAAAACAAGCTAATTCAGAGAATTCGTGTCCCCCGCTTAGGGAAAAAGTCGGCTCCCCCTGACTGAATTTGTAGAATTATTAAATGTATACATGTATACTGAAGGAAATAAAATACATGTATGTCAATATTCATACAAAGATTTGATTACTTATTCTTTATTATGTGTATAGAAGATTTTTTTATATGGAATATTTATCACACTGTAATGATGATTTTATAACCTCATAAATTTTTCATTTCACATGCTGAATACTATCATTTAGTAAAAAAAAAAAAGTATTTAAAAAAAAAAAAAAAAAAATGAAAGGTTCGACCGAGATTCGATCCCGGGATCTCTCACATTTGAAGCGAGAGACATAACCACTAGACCACGGAGTCGCTTTATACAAATAGAAGTATATGCAGAACTGAAGTCACATACATGTATATATTCATGTTTTCATGTTCGGTTTTCTCTAAATTTTACACAATCCATGGTGTTTGATTTATTTAGCCTTTATTAAACAGTTCTAATAGATGTAATAAGAACATAAAGTCCGCCGAGAACCTGTTTTATACGCAATAACTCTCCTCATGCCCCTGCGCTAAAAATAGCGCCATGTAATACTATAAATACTAATAAAACAAACGGGGCGGGGCACTTTGAGAGGGGCGAGAGACGTCCTAGGGAGGTTTGGTATAAAATTACATTGCATAAGCTCAAAATCTTCTTGAAATATCGCCTGGAAATGATAGTATTACATACAGAAAGAATGTATAAATTTACGACCTTGAACTTTGACCTTTTGACCTCAAAATCAATAGGGGTCTTCATTAGGCCACAGGGAGTTGTTATATAAAATTTCATTGCAATAGCTCAAATGGTTCTCGAGATATCGTGTGGAAACGAATGTGTTTTAACAGAGAGAATTTGCTTATTTATGACCTTGACCTTTGACCTTTTGACCTCAAAATCAATAGGGGTCTTCTTTAGTCTATAGGGAGTTGCTATGCTAAATTTCATTGCAAAAGCTCAAAGGGTTCTCGAGATATCGTGTGGAAACGAAAGCGTTACAGACAGACAGAAAGACGGACGGACGGACGGACGGACAAACCCAAATTAATATCCCCCACTTTTCAAGCGGGGGACAATTAACAAATAAATTAGGCCGTCTAAGAGTATGTCATAGGTCTGAGTTACTGTCACACCCAGTGAATCACCTTGAGAATTATTTACTGTTTGTATTTAGTATATTGTATATATATATATTTGATTTATCTTGGTATGATAAATCTTTAATTGGTGATAGAAAATACACATTTTCTTTTTTTCACCTAGTGCTTCCAGCCTCAATTCTCTGTTCTCATAAGGAGAACAGGCCTCTGTATGATTGTGTAGACATACGTAGTACATCTACTAATTATTTTCTAAAAATAAATAAATAAATAAACCACCGTGTTGCTACAATCATTTTTTGGTGGCCGACCATACATGTAGTTAAATGTCAACATAATATAAAGAGAAAATAAAGATGAGGTGAGGAAAATTGCAAATAGCAACAAAAAGGGGGTGATTTTGTTCAATAACTTTGAACATAAATTATAGATTAAATATAAATTAAAATGAGAAGGGGGGTTAAATACATATTTGGAAAGTGTATATGAGTATTAAAATTTAATTTTAAAATGAACACAAAGGGGGGGGGGGGTGAAATGATTTAGTTTTGCTACATTGTTTTTATTTAGCTTGAAATATTGTAAACTTGAAATATTGTAACTAATTGCTGTTACACCGATTAAAATTAAATTTTAGATAATGTTTTAAAATTAGCAATAGTACTGTACAAAGTTAAAAGCCTTCAGGAATACTAAACATAATAATTGGCAAAAGATAAGTACATAATTATATTTTTGAATATCAACAGATTATATGTATTTGTGTGTGCATTTTGTGAACAAAAATCAAAATTTAATAAAGAAAATGACCAGGCAGGAGTTAAGCCAAATTGAATTTAGAAATTTTGGTTTGTGCTATAGCATAATTATAATTTTAAAGATGCAAAAAGGTCAAAAAATGTCGGCTAAAAGCAACTTTTTTCACCTAATTTAAAAAATCAAACCAAATTAAGAAATTACAGGTTTAAAAATTGGCACTCTCATATATAACCCTATAATAAATGTGTCTGTATTTTGAGATGGTCTCTGGACGGTAGATTTCACCCAATCTTGGCATGGTCACTGTTAATGTTATATATGGAATAAAAAAGAAGAGTTTCATTATTTTAGTTTTCACACAATAAAACCCCAGTCGGCACCCTTAAGTAAATTTTGTATTGTAAATTAGATATATAGACTTATCTTATTTGAAATTTAATTTTGCTTCCTTTCCCCTTAACTCATCTACATTTTTATTATGGATTTTGAAACGCATATTACCATGTTTATACAATTAAACAAAAGATTTTGTATGTTGAATTGTCTGGAACATTTTGTCTCTCAACCAAGTTAACATGAAATTCGAATTCTGAAGAATAAGATTAATAGATAAATTGTAATTGTTTTCAACAATAAGATGTGATTTATTTTAATCTAGACGAGTAAATATTGAAACATTATTGTTCAAAATCAAATTCATTTAATAAGTTCCGCAATTTCTCTAAAACATTAAGAATTTTCAGGAAATCTAAGTTTTTCTCCCCATTCTTTAATGATATTTATAAAATTATAACTGTATTTATTTTTTTAAATTTCCTAGTATCCAGGAAGCTTGTGTCTCTGCATAAAGTATACTTAGGGAAATAAAAAAAGAAACATAATTACAAAGACTATTAGATTATAAATTCAAAGATAATTTAAACTGTTTAGAAAAAGTCACTAAAATTAGTAACAGACTATTTACCAATAGTTTTCAGGTTTTTACTTTTCAATGCAATTTGTTATACATACACTTAATCAAAAGACAAACAAAATTTTAAAAAATTCAGATACAATGTTATAGATCATTGCACTTGAACCAAAAGACTTTGAAAACATGTATTAAATTCTCTAAACTTTGTGTTCTTTGCCTTTAATCTAATCGTACAAAGAGTGTAAACCATTTTGCCATTTTTTTTTTAAAGATCTAAGGATATACTAATCTTTTTATTTATACATTCATGCACGAAGAAATTATGAGTGGAAAAAATGGATGTGCTCGGGAAAAAGTATCAGAATGTTAAAATTTGATAACAAGACTGATTTCAAAGTTACGGAATCAAATCTCAGCCGCTATTGACCTAAATATTAGTAGAAGATAGTAACTGTTCTTTCGCCAAGCGCTCGGTACTTTGAAGTGATAGGTTCGGGATTTTCGAATGAGATTTTTAAAATTGACCTCCCCTATAACGGTAAGCGATGACACGTAAATAATTACCATTAATGTATGCTTTCAGATCCATGGGAAATTCTTTCAAGTTTACTTTCTTTAAAATAGAAAATAGCAATGGAGAGCGGGAAACAATTCAGAAAATACGAAAAATCCAGTTAATTATTCATCATCTGAGGAGGGATGAAATTTGTTATCAAAATTTTCTGGCTCGGGAAGCAAAATTAATCAAATGTGTAAATCGTTTGTCGTTTTCGAAACATCTTTTTTTTTTAAATAAAGACTCTTTGTAAAGAAAAGTCCGCTTAATTTGATAAATTTTTACTCATTTCTAATTGTGATGACACTGTACATAGGATCAAAACTTGGCTGATCATTTTCTAAATCTCCTTGGCAAAACTTTTTTCGAACGACAATGACACACTCACCAATGACAACACACAATAATATTACGCCACTTATATTTAGTATAATTATATAAGGTATTCTACCCTCCTTATCAAGGCTTGTTTGATTTTTTGATAGAGTTGCATTTATAATGGTTGTTTTTCTGAAGAATGTTTCTGTCGACGAATTGTAGAACATCATACTTGAAACCTGTTGCGTCATATAACTTGGATATGGATTTGTTCTTTCTAAAGCTTTTTTCGTGACTGGTTTTTAAATATAAAAATTAAAAAAAATCATTTTGTGAGTTTCATTCTCAATAGAAATACGAAACTATCTCATTACAGGAAAAATATTTAAGCACATTTTACCGGGCAATGTTAAACATTCCCTAGATTCTATTTTGCAAGCGACACGATTGCATTTACACTTCCCTGAAGAACATCTATATCCATATTCCGGAACATTGCACAGTGAAGTACAATTTTCTCCAAAATATCCCAAGGGACAAGCTGTACAAATGAAAATAAAAGTGAATTAATAATTTTTCATAAAATGATAAAAAAAAATAAGCATTCTCACAGTATGAAAATTCCAACTTTTCTTACGCATGCATTTTTCCTCTGTTGAATTCCATATCTCTCCGACACAACAAGGTTTGTAGTTGAAAATCCTGAAAAATTCGAAAATGTCTTTGATCCATTATAGAATAATTAACAAAATTGTAATTCTGTTAATTTAGAATATGAAAAATCAACAACAAACAAACAAGATAACTGGAACCATCTTTCACGAGAGACATTTCTAGCACGTCTGTTTTCTAACTGATAGAAAATACAGATTGCAAGAAAATATTTTCCAACTCCAATCTATATATTCAGTAAACAAAAAAAAAAAAATATGGCTGAATTACAGTAATGGAAATAACCATAAATGTAGTCTTCCCAGCGTACATTTTAAGATGAGGTATCATACAAGACCAGCTATGCTAAATTTTCTACTCATTTGTCAACGGATGTGCTTCAGAATTCATCCCTCTGATAATACATCAAGAAAATATTGATTTAATGCATGCAGGATCTTAAGCTTGAACTTTCTGTTTCTAAATAATTACCCCCCCCCCCGAAAAAAATTTATCACCAGCACAATTATTAGTAAATACAATGAGAAACATCTATGCAGGAAGGTTATGGATGGCTTTGTAGTTATATCATAACAAAAATTACACGAAAATAAGATTGTAACACGTTTTTTTGTATTTGCACTCTTCGGCGGAGAGAGATAACAGAAAGATAAAAATAAACATTGATCCTGGCCACTAGGGTGACCTTTTACCCTGAACGATTCCCAGAAGATGCGATTCATGAGAATGCGGTTGTTTACTTGTTTATCGGAAGACGTATTTAGTTAGGAGGAAGAGGCAACCAATGAGATTGGAGTGACCAGAGTTTAGATGTTGGGATAAATTAACTACGGAAAACAATATTTAAAGATTATGCACAAAATTGATAATTATCTTAAAAGTGCATTAGAAGTTTTAAAAGTACTCAAGGTCTGAATAATAGTAATTAAAATTCAAATCAAAATTTAAAGTAATTATTGCATATTTCGAAGGAGTTACAAATATGGAGATGTAAATCTACAAACGTAAACCTAGTATGAAATGAACGGCCGGGATAGACAGGATTTCAGTGGAAAGCTGAATCTTGACTGTCTTCGGTTGGTTGCATTTCATACAGGTGAGATAATTTTCTATACTTACGCGGTTTTTGTCAAATTATTAAAATTTTCACATGGCTTAATTTATTAACAGGTTACATTTTTTTTCATATTAGAACTAATAATATTTAGTATAATGTTTAGTATATTGTAAGAAATTATTTATTGTAATCATAACGATTACAAATAGATTGTTTAATTTAATAAAGAGTGAAAAGCTGAATCTTGACTGTCTTGGTTGCATTTCATACAGGTTGGGTAACATCGCCACTCCCAACACCTGTTGGCCGCTCAGGTCTGGAAAGGTCAATTGGAAATAAAATGTCAAGGAATTATTTAATAAAAGAGATAGCGCAATTGACTAATCCCGGTACCTCCACAAGCCAAGCGAGTTCAGAAGAAATTATATAATAAAAGAAATAGCTAGAATGAGTCATCCCGGTACCTCTTCACGAGTTCCAGTGAATGAGTGTAACCTGATTATGAAAAGCGAGCAATTATCCTTGTTTGTTTGTTTTTTTTCATGAAAGTTATCTGGGAACATCACGTTAGCTGCAAGAACTTCGTTTCAATGATTGAGAAAATTCCCCCCTTTGACGTTTGTAATACCTATCTTGAACTTTACAGCCCTAAATGGTCAAGATTTGAATAATTTAGGATCTACACTACACCAGGAAGGTTCCACATAAGTTCTTGAGAAGATTTTTAAAGTTTTTCCTATATATTTCTATATATAAAACTTGGATTCCCTATTGTGGCCCCGCCCTACCCCCGGGGTCATTATTTGAACAATTTAGAATCTGCACTACCCAAAGATGTCTCCACGTAAGTTTAAGATTTTCTGGCCCAGTGACTCTTGAGAAGAAGATTTTGAAAGTTTTTTTCCTATATATTCCTATGTAAAAATTGAATTCCCTATTGTGGCTCCGCCCTACCCCTGTAGGTCAAGATTTGAACAATTTAGAATCTACATTACCCAAGGATGCTTCCACATAAGTTTCAGCTTTTCTGGCCGGGTGGGTTTGATAAGAAGACTTTTTAATGACCCCACCCTATTTTTGTATTTTCTTGATTATCTCCCCTTGGAAGGAGACTTGGCCCTTTGTTTTAACAATTTAAATTCTCCTTTTCCCAATAATGCTTTGTACCAAGTTTGGTAAAAAAAAAAGAAGTTTGGCCCAGTGGCTCTAGAGAAGAAGTTGAATATTCGATAAGTTTTCGCACGGACGGACGAACGGACGACGGACAACGGGTGATCAGAAAAGCTCACTTGAGCTTTCAGCTCAGATGAGCTAAAAAGATATGGTTCCCTTACCAGTTTTAATTCATTTTAGTCATTTACAAAAAAGCAAACAAATCACATTCTTTTGTTATATTTTTTATAATACAAGATATGGGCCTCTTGTTTGCTTTTGGATAGCCTTGGAGCGGATATGAAAATGTAAAGCTTTTTTCAGTGTATGCTCATGTTCTTATGAGCAATCATTAACACTCTTCTCGGGTACCACATAAAACATTCTTCAGAGAATGTTTTCAATTGTAAAAATATGTTTCAAATACTGATTTAAAAATATTGTAGACAATAAGTTAAAAGATACATACCCTTTGCACAGCGCATAGGAAAGTCGATAGTGCCATAAGAAAAGATACACTGTGCAAAAATAGTGCTTCAACTCTAGTTTCATATTGTAAAGGAAGGTACACAATTGCGAGATTAAAATAGTTTCATCTTAGCTACAGCATTTGTGTGTTGTTGAAACATGGAAAAACATGGGCATACGGGGTTTGTCTAATGACAGCTTTACGTATCTTTGAATGCAATGCGCAGATTGATTGGATTACTTTTCAGTCAAAAACATTGGTTGCTTCAGAAAACCTTCCGCTCTCTCGTCTGTGTCTCCAAATAAAATCAAGAGAGTCCTCAACTTTTGGACAAAGTACAAAGGACTGATAAGTAGAATACTACGACCTAGTACAATATTATATGTCATTTCTGAGTGCATAAGTGCTCTCATTACTTTAACAAATATTGAGGAAATTATTAATTTTTTATGCCTTCAATTTCTATTTCATCAGAATTTATGCGTAAACATTCTCAAACAAAAATAATCTAAATCTTTCCAAGCCAAAGGTTTTCAGTTCAGTTTACTCCCCTGGCTTGAAAAGATGGCAAACAAGTGAGATTATATTCTCTTTTATATACATGTACATAATATACGAGGGTTGATCCAAAAGTAACATGAGTAATGTCACAGTGTCCATATCTTTTGTATATGGCGTCATATTATCAAATATAATGTACCAAAAGATGCACATATATAATTCTAATAAATTTGAAATTTTCATTTAAGGACCATCTCTACACCAGTACAAAAATGTTTTTTGGACTTTGTCAAAATTATATTGAACAAAGGTAAAAATAAAGAGCTTATCCATTTAGTTTTCAATATATGGTGCGTGGCATTTACCCCAGAAAAGATGTTCAAACTCAGCATGGTATCAATGAACATGGTGAATAGAAATCACTGTTATTTACTTCCGTGTAGTCTAGAAAATACGAGTACGTGTAAATAATATGTTCAATTAATTTATCTTGGCTTTTTTTAAATGTTAAGAATACTTGAATTGACAACAAATTGAGTTATATACTGTAAATTTCTATAACTCTTTAGTGTGCTATGTAGAGAGGCTTTTTAATGATGTTAACTTGACGATTTTATAGATGTTTAAAACAAAAAGCAGAGGGGGTGTCGCCGCGTCACAACTAACAGTTACTCAGATGCATAAAATATAGGAAATGTCGAAATGGAAAAAAAACGCCGCAACGAGCTGTTATGTACGGCGCCGCTGGAGGGCCAGGTAAAAAAAAAAAAATTATTTATTCGGACAAATTAGAAATTCGTTCGGACAAATTAGAAATTTGTTTGGACGAATTATATATTTGTTCGGACAAATTAGAAATTCGTTCGGACAAATTAGAAATTTGTTTGGACGAATTATATATTTGTTCGGACAAATTAGAAATTCGTTCGGACAAATTAGTTATTTGTTCGGACGAATTAGATATTTGTTCGGACAAAATAGAAATTAGATATTTGTTCGGACAAATAAGTTATTTGTTCGGACGAATTAGATATTTGTACGGACGAATTAGAAATTCGTTCGGACAAATACGTTTTTTGTTCGGACGAATTACATATAGATATTTTTACGGACGAATTAGTGAAAATGGGAATAAATGTCAGGACACCGCGATTAATACGTGATTTGCACCAAAACGTTTCATTATATTTTGATTCTTTGCAAAATAAATTTCATGAACAACATCATCGATAAATATTTTGAAGATATGTCGTTTTAATATTGATCTCTTTAGTATCATTTTTATTTAAGGAATAACTGTCTTATTTTTCGATTTCATGATGTGTTCAATCGATTGGCTTGCGTGATAATTTGCATAAACGCCGAAGGCGTTTATGCATAAAATTATCACACAAGCCAGTCGATTGATCATCTTCATGAAATTGAAAAATCTGACAGTTATTCCTTATTTTTACATGCTATTGATTCCGCCAATCCATGTTCTAGCTATTTGTCCCGCCCTGCACGTGATTTGTTTAACCTCGCCTATTGATGAACCAGTACATTTATGTAGAAATAAAGTACATTAACTATTTATAATTTTATCTCGGACAAAGACATTGGAAATGTAAATATTTACAAATCCACTACCCTGCATTTATTAATTATCACATGTGAATGATTTTTGAAATACATTTCTGGTACATATGCGATGTGTATGATGAAAAAAGGTCCTCAAATAGTTTTAAATATTCCTGTTTGTGAATTAAGAAAACTTCACAAAAATGGACCTGTTCGTATTGATCCCAGGGTTGTTCCTGTGACCCGGGAGCCGGTGAATTTCCTCGCATTTAATGAGAATTTCACCCGGTTATTCTGGTATATACGCGCCCCCTAAAATTATCAGAGTTAGCGTAAATCACAGTTTCGTGTAGAAAATGTAAGTATGTCTACTTGGTAGACCTCTTTTTTATCCTACAAAATCTCTAGAATCTAGGAGCTTTCGGGGGCTTCGCCCCCTGGACCCCCACCAGGGCTTTGCCCTGGACGCACTGGGGACTTCAAGGCGGCCCCCAGACCCTCTGCCTATTTTTGGCGCCCCCTTTAACTTCAATTCCTGGATCCGCGCCTGACATGTATAGACAGAAAAAAAGGCCTAACAATTGGTACTTGAAGCTTGGTAAAATACGACCCAGTGACAGATTTTATTTGCTAATGAAGACATAATAATGACCGTGGAATTTACGAAATATTGACTGTAAACGATGTTGTTGAAATCCCTGTAACATCATCTTATCTGTCAATAGCCTGTCTAGGTTAAAAGCATATACATGTGATAGCTTAATTTTAATACATGAACAACAAAAGATAATGATGGAAAATCTGAAGTCATCTTGTTTGTAACACAATGTAGTTGTTAGTAAGTGGGACCTATAACTTTGGCATGAAACCAACAGATGTTGCAGAATCTGTGGTGTCTTTTTATTCAAATTCACTTGAGATGCATGTATTACGGATGGAAATAACTTTTGTGAATTATTAAAAATAAATTCATCATATAAAATCAATCTCTCTTTCAAAAAAATGTATTACGCTCGGACGGTCACATTAAAGACACTTTTTAAAACACATCCAAAATATTACATCGGGCTCGAAATTCCTTATTTAGCATGACCTTGAACTCTTTAGTCTTGAATCGCCTCTGCTCTGGATTGACATTTGCATTTTGATGGGATACTGATATAAAAATGTTGCGATTAGAGAAGCTATCGCAGCTGATGCTTCGGCAGAATCTCCACAAGGTAAACTTTCACAAAAATGTGGTAGTGTTGCGAGTTGTCAACTGCGCAAATAACATAAAAAGTAAAAACACTATTTGCGTAAGACCCACCAGATAAACAATAACGAGCACAAATTACTCGATGCGATCGCGGTATAAATTGAAAGTTTTTTCAATGCTTGGAACTGGTTTGCCTGTGGGAATTTTTACAAACAGAGACCTACAGTTACATGTATGAAGCCAACGATGGTGGCGTTCAGTTCAGTTATGGAATTCCCTCCTATGTATAAGGAGCACCCGAGAAGGTGGTTTCATAAAAGATATAAAATTAAAAGGTGATGAAAAGAAATTTTGTAAAATCTATTCTATATAGTGCTGTAAAAATGAAATTAGAGGTAATAGTCAAACTAAAAGTGAAAAAGGCTTTACACACTGTACAGTAACTTAGCTTCTATTATAAAAGTTATTTCAACTCTAAAAGTATTTACATACTCCTACTTAAAAAAAATTATGGTCTGTTGGTTGTAGCAGAGACATATGGTTTTATATGTCTCTGGTTGTAGACTGTGTACATTTTTTAATAGTTTGAGTTTTAATAGTGATTTTTAATTATTACTTGCATATTTCTGCACCTTAGTCCTACATGTTCATGCGAGAGAAACTCAGATCTGGTACAATCACTAGACTTAGCTACGTAGTTTAAATGACCTACATAGCTTTTTTAGCTACGTGAGGTAGGTTTACTTATCTACGCAATCATACTTTTTTCTATTAAATTGTCATTTAGGAGAAATATGCCACCATAACAGAGAAAAAAAAAGAGTTATCTAAAGTTATTGAGAGTCTTAAGAATTTTTGTGGATCTTTACAGGGAATCGCACCACTGTACTGTCGTTGTGCTCACACCAAAGAACCACTGCACCCAGAATGGAAAGCTGCCGCCTCAAAGGAACTGAAGGGCAAAAAAGACATAGATTCTCTGATCTGGAAAACACCAGAGGTTTGTGTATTGTAAGGTTACACTGCATATGGGACTATATATGTGTCTTTTTTCAATGATCATAATGGTAGTAGGCCAAATTAACATGCAATTAAAGAATGGAAATAGGTGATGCCCTTTGCCATATCATCTATTAATGCAGTTTTTGTTGTTTGCTTGTTGAAAAACTTCTTGTAAACAATATTTTTTTTTCTACAGGGTATTGAAATTAAACCTGTTTATACAAAGGCTGACATCAAAGATGTACAGGATGAGGTACCTGGTCATTTTCCCTATACAAGAGGCCCATACTCCACAATGTACACAAATAGACCATGGACAATCAGACAGGTAGAGAGAGATGGGGGATTAATTGTAAAATATACAAGTTATGTTAAGAACTAAATTTTTAGGGAAATATTAGTTGCAATAATGTAGTTCTCTTCTTTAATCTGATATTTTCTGGAGAGGAGCCCTCCAACACCCCCCCCCCCCCCCCGGAAAAAAAGGAGATGGCTTCATTATTGCAGCTACGGTAATATTTACTCCAGTGCCAGAAATTTCTGCAGCATTTAGACAATACCGTATAAGTAGAATTTTTAGCGAGGATTTAAAATTTTGGCATTATTAGCGAGGGTGCTGAGATCGCTAAAATTTTATATCGCTAAAATTTAATTGTATTGTATTTGTAATAGCTTCTTTAGTGTACACTTTAAAATCGCTAAATTTGCATCTCGCTAAAAATAAACACCAATTTTGAAGGACAAATCGCTAAATTTGCGTCTCGCTAAAATTTCCACTTATACGGTATATTCTGTATATGTACACCATACTATAATTTATACACTAATTTATTTCAGTATTCAGGGTTCAGTACAGTGGAGGAGAGCAATAAATTCTACAGAGATAATATAGCTGCCGGTCAGCAGGGACTCAGTGTGGCCTTTGACCTTCCAACTCACAGGGGGTAAGACTTCATCCTGACCAATGAAATTCAAAGTGGTCGGTGACAAAATCTAGACATGGTTAAGACTGTCTGAGCAAAGTTGTCAATTAAGAATTCAGTATTTTCAAGCATATAGAGCCATGTTCTTAAATGGATTTTTTTTTTTATCAGAAGTTGTTTTTCCCTGTTTTTATTCATAAAACATCAAGGTATTCATAGAACTGCTTGATGTCTCTGAGTTTTTAATTTTTTTTTAAAACCCTCATTACTTTCTATTGCTGAATTTTAGTTTTTCAAAATGTCTTTAAATAAGTAAACTATGTTGACTCTTCATTATGCAGTGGGAATTTAAGGTTAATAGCAGAAAACTTCATATAGCTAGCATACTTCAAGACAAAGCATATCATCAGATATGCTTTACTATTCTTTACAGTTATGACTCTGATAACGAGCGTGTTGTTGGAGATGTGGGAATGGCGGGGGTTGCTATTGACTCTGTAGAGGACATGAAGCTGTTATTTGATGGAATCCCACTAAAGAAAATCTCCACCTCCATGACAATGAATGGAGCCGTGCTTCCTGTGATGGCCATGTTCATAGTGGCAGCAGAGGAGCAGGTCAGTGCACAGTGTTTTCATTTTATACAAGATACAACTAAATTTTTTTGCACATGCTGGATAAATGAAGGTGCCACTGTAAATTTAAAAGAACTTCTTTTTGGTTCTTTAATTGTAACAATATTTTATTTTCAAATTGCTGATCAGAGCTTACACTATTATAATGTACAAAGTTACAATTAGCATACAGTATAAGTGGAAATTGTAGCAAGACACTAATTTACCGATTTGTCATAATAAAACAGGTACTCTATTTTTAACAAGAAATATATACATTTGTGGTATCTTTCCATTATATAAACATACAGAGAGAAAATATCTTCAATTCTGTATGAAGTTTGTCAGAGGTCAGCTAGAGGTCAATATATGGTAGAATCACACGGCGCAATAATAGGCCCCTACATGTATCTACCGTTACTTATAAATATATAAAATGACTTGCTTTTCAATAGTTTTCATGTATAAAAATGAACAAAATATTAAAGCAAGTGAAATAATTGTTTTATTTACAACGTAAACAAGTACTTCATACATTTTTGGCGATCGATTTCATTTAACCTGTGTACATAGAGAATATATCGATAGAAACTAGCCTTTGTTTACAAGTTGTACGTCACTTTTGTCAGCTGCACAGTCTCTAACTTTTAAGCTAAATCTTCATGATATAGGCTAAAACTATATTTTTCCATTAAATTCTCCTCACGATAAATGTTTAAATCTATTGGAAATCAAAGCGATGCAATCACGCCACGAACAGCTGAGAAACACCTTGATGGGCGCTGTCGTACTACAATGTAAGCTCTCGCCAGTGTCTCCGTGTTAACATAATAATGCCTTTAGCTACTGAAATCGTAGATTAAATTTTTTGATCAAATTAAATACCTGATTGCAAATTAACTGTCTCGGACAAGTGTCTCAATCCATCGGATCCATCCATCCCTTTCAGGCGACCGAAATTCCTCCAACTTTTTATCATCAATCCTCGGACGTGTGTTTTGTATCTTTTCAGCATTAATTATCAATTTTCACAAATAAAAACATTCCCAGACAAGAATCTGTTCACTATTACTGATCACAAGTAGCCTTTAACAAAATATTCCCTTCGAAATAGACTTCTTAGTCTGTCACGAATTCAAAGCGTAACCGCCTTTCAAGCCGATTTACACCTTGCGTACTTTTGAAGGAAATCTACGGCGACCGGTTAGTGCAATATTTATATCCCAATATATCGAATTTAATGTTTAATTGTCCGTCTCAAATGTATATATAAGTAATAAATAACAAGTTTCTTAAGTAATTTAATTGATACATGTATTATGAAATGCTCACTAAAGAAGCTATTACAAGTAAAGTGCAATTAACTTTTAGCTCTAGTCAATTTTAGCAATTTCAGCACTCTCGCTAAAAATGCCAAAATGAAATCCTTGCTAAAAATTCTGCTTATACGGATTTCTAATTTTATCCTACAGGGAGCCAAACAAGAGGAGCTAGCCGGTACTATACAGAACGATATCCTCAAAGAGTTCATGGTCAGAAACACCTACATTTTCCCCCCAGAGCCATCCATGAAAATCATTGGAGACATTTTTGAGTACACCTCCAAGGTATTGAAAGTTCTAGGCCAAAACATCATTCCCTTTGGCTTTCAAATTAATTGTAAACTTATTGCCATTGGAAAAAATTAAATTTACATTTGTAACCAAGTAATATTGTCTGCCTCTGACACTTGGTTTACATTAATTAATTTTTCAAAAAAGTGTGTTTAACTGTCAAAATAACTTTGCTATTATCTTCAATTCATTTTAACAAAGACTTTGTGTTTATATTCCTTATTTATATGTTTAACTGTTTAAATACAAAACCTGACTGTATTTCTCACATCTTAAGTTTTCGTATTCAATCTACAGTAAATATATGTCTCAATTATTTTAATGTTGTATTCAACCTTTATTTCAGAACATGCCAAAATTTAACTCCATATCAATCTCGGGGTATCACATGCAGGAGGCTGGAGCCGACGCTGTGCTAGAAATGGCCTTCACACTGGCCGATGGTCTACAGTACATAAGAACAGGTACAATATACATGTACAGTGTAGTGAAAATGGAACACAATTTATCTTTGATTTCTGAAAGATGGTCATATTGAATGCTTGCTGTGAAATGATCATATTTTCATTCTCCTCGGCTTTATTGAAAGTCTGTTAAAATAACCTGCTAATAACCAATAGTTTTTCTTTGTACTCGGTATGTACCCAGTGGTAACAATGACATTTTCTCTAGCAGTGTTTAATATTGATAATCACATCATTATGTATGGTACTTCTTTGATTTTTTTTTAACATTTTTTTGTAGGCTTGGAGAGAGGACTGGATGTAGACAAGTTTGCTCCTCGACTTTCCTTCTTCTGGGGTATAGGAATGAACTTCTATATGGTAAGAGAGTTTAGTTTGCTTTTACATTCAATAGATTTAGATACTTTGAAGGCCTACATATTAAAAGTTTCAAAAATTAATTTCAGTATATGTATAGCGTACTTCTACCATTATGAGGAGTATTTAAAATTGTTTTCTACAAATTGTAGTATGCTTCATCAAATGAAAGAATGTACATTCTTATTAAAAAAAGAATTGATTCAGAAGTTTCCATAACATTTTGAGGCTTAAATGTTTTATGATCAGCAGAACATTTTGAGGCTAAAGTGTTTTATGATTAGCTGGCTCTCAAACATTCTTGCTACACATGTAAACATCTAATAGACATTCAACATTCTGGATTAATGATGAAATCCTTTCAGGAAATAGCTAAGATGAGAGCTGCTAGAAGACTGTGGGCCACGCTGGTCAAGGAAAAGTTTGCTCCCAAAAATCCCAAATCCCTGTTACTTCGGGCTCACAGCCAGACCTCTGGATGGTCACTGACAGAACAAGTAATGTGATATTGATATTCCAGATCTTTTAAGAGGACCTCCTCCTTCTTGCACCCCTACATGTATTTTTACTCGTTCTTATAAATCTTCGAATTTCTCGAGTTTTCTTTCGACCATCAAGTTTGAGATAATGAAGATTGACTGTAAATGTTATATTCATATTGCCTTATTCCACCATTTTCTAAAAAAAAAAAAATAAACTTTCATAGATCTGTTAAAGTGCTTGCTATGACCAATTCATCATGCTTCGTTTCTCCTCCTCAGGATGCCTACAACAACATAGTGCGTACTGTGATCGAGGCTATGGGGGCAGTGTTTGGGGGGACGCAGTCTCTACACACTAACTCTTTTGACGAGGCCCTGGGTCTGCCAACTCCATTTAGTGCCAGAATTGCCAGGAACACCCAGATCATATTACAGGAAGAATCGGGCATACCCAAGGTACATGTACATGAAAAATATATGGTATTTCAATCAAACTTAGTGTGCAGATAGATGTACAGTGCACATAATAGCTCTATACATGCAATTTGACTGATAATGTGTTATTTTATTAACAGGTGGCAGATCCCTGGGGTGGTTCCTATATGATGGAGAGTCTAACTAATGATATTTATGATGAAGCTCTGAAACTCATCAATGAGGTCTGTGGGTTTTTTAAAAACTTTTTTGATATGATACAAAAATAAAGAAGAATTACAAACTAAAGTATTCTTCTGCTGCCTTCTCCAAATCAAAAAAATTTGATTGTTATATTTTGATAATTATGCCCCTGGTCCCTTTGAAGAAGAGAGCATATTGCTTTGCTGCTGAATGTTAGACAGTCAGTCTGTTAGTCCACCATCACTTTACATTCATTTTCTTTGCAGAGGTGGCACATACTGAAATAAAATTTGGTATACAGATTTATCATATGAATATCTAGGTCAAGTTCTGTTTACGGTACGATTGAGCAATTTGGGTCAGAGTTATGCCCCTTGAACTTACAAAAATACCAATTATTTGGGGAGGAGTGGGGCATAAGTGTTTTACAAACATCTCTTGTTCTTTAAGTATTTTACTCAGGATATCTGGAATTCCTGGATATCTTGAAGTTTTCTCTCAATCAAAATGAGTCACGATAAAATAAGGTTGGACTGTGCACTATCTTTCAAGTAAATGTTGTATAATATGTAGATAGAGGAGATGGGAGGTATGGCTAAGGCAGTGGCCTCGGGGATGCCTAAGTTAAGGATTGAGGAGTGTGCAGCCAAACGCCAGGCCAGGATAGACAGTGGGGCAGGTAAATACTTTGTTATAAAAGTCTTGAAAATGATATAGGTTTGTAGGGTTCCTAAACATTGGTTTATTTCTACACAGAATGGATATTCTACCTAGATTCTTTCATTCCATTTTTAGGTCACCTGAGTCAGGTGACCTATTGCTATCCGTTTTCATCTGTCGTCTTGCGTCGTGTGTGGTGTGTTAACATTTGAACATTTTCAGCTTCTTCTCTGAAACCACTGAACCAATTTCAACCAATTTTGGCATACTGCATCTGTGGGTGAAGGGAACAAAAATTGTGAATTTCACGGTCCCTGCCCCCCTGGGGCCTTGGGGGTGGGGCCAAAACCACTAAAATTAGTGCAATCTTTAAAAATCTTCTTCTTTACTCCTGGACATCAAGCAGTCAAACTGTTGGTATGATTGTAATCAGCATTGAGTCCTCTACCAAAATTGTGAAATTCATGGCCCCAGGGTCAGGGGTTCTAGTGCTAGGGTGGGGCTCTATTGATTATATAGTGAAAATGCATAAATTCTTTGAAAATCTTCTTCTCTGCTCCTGGGTATCAAATAAACAAACTAAGTACATAGTTATGATGAGCAAGAGTGCCTCTTTCAGATTTGTGAATTTTATGGCCCCAGGGTCAGGTGTTCTGGTGTAAGGGCGGGGCTCTATTGATTATATAGTGAAAATGCATTAATTCTTTGAAAATTTTCTTTTCTGCTCCTGGGTATTGAATAAACTTACTTCGTACATTGTTTTGATGAGCAAGAGTGTCTCTTTCAAAATTGTGAATTTCCTGGCCCCAGGGGCAGGGGTCTGGTGTTAGATTGGGGCTCTATTGATTATATAGTAAAAATGCATTAATTCTTTGAAAATCTTCTCTGTTCCTGTGTATTAAATAAATTAACTAAGTACATAGTTATGATGAGCAAGAGTGCCTCTTTCAAAATTGTTAATTTTAAGGCCCCAGGGGGTTCAGTTCTGGTGTTGGGGGAGGGGGGGGGGGGCTCTATTGATTACATAGTGAAAATGCATTAATTCTTTGAAAATCTTCTCTGTTACTGGGTATTAAAAAACTAACTAAATACATTGGTACGATGAGCAAGAGTGCTTCTTTCAAAATTTTGAATGTTATGGCCCCAGGGTCAGGGGTTCTGGTGTTAGGGTGGGGCTCTATTGATTATATAATGAAAATGCATTACTTCTTTGAAAATCTTCTTCTCTGCTCCTGGGTATCAAATAAACTAACTAAGTACATTGTTATGATGACCAAGAGTGCCTATTTCAAAATTTTGAATTTTGTGGCCCCAGGGTCAGGGGTTCTCAGGTGTTAAGGCTGGGCTATATTGGTTATATTGTGAAAATGCATTTATTATTTAAAAATCTTCTCTGCTTCTCGGTATTAAATAAACAAATTACATAGTTATGATGAGCAAGAATGGCACCTCAACCAAAGAAGATGGGCGCATTTGGCGTGTGATCCGCAGGAATCATTTGTACGAAACATTTATAGTTTAAATGTCCATGATTTGATTAGCTGAACATAGCTGGTCAGATTTTACAAACACGTCCATAGGTTTTTTTTTCATTTAGTTTGAAAGACTTTGTTAGATTGTAACATTTATGTCCATTTTTCCAAGGGGTTACTATTATAATACTATAACATAGTAATTTTTTACAAAAAATAAACACCTAAATATTTAATGCATAGATGCATGATACAGTGGCTGGAACGTTATTGTTGACAACTTACACGAACGATCACGTTACACGCACGATTCCGCACAATTAACGCACGATTAAACCTGATACACGAACGATCCTTCACGTTCACGATTCTACACGTTACACGATCTTACACGATTGATAACGCAAATGCACGATTCTTCACGCACAATAGTTCAAATTATTTAGGAATTGATATTTCCAAAACGATATACGGCTTTATATTGAATTTAGATTCAAAGAATTATCAATAAATATATTATATCATCAACTTTGAAAAAAAACGGAAATGGATATTTCTGGTACTAAATACATGTAAGGTTTGTTTTTTTTTTTTATTATTTTAGATAATAAATAATTATTTAGATAATTCTCCGACATAAGAAAACGGATTTTTTTGTTCTATCAGAGGATAGTAGTAGGTGGACCGTAAAATTTGATTGAATTGGATTTCATAATATGTGGAATGGGGGATACGATTGGGAAAAAAAATGGCATCATGGAATGACTTAACTTAAAAGTTATATCTATATGTTTTTATTACTTCAAAATGTTTATGAATCTCTAAAACATGAAAAACGACATTGCAAATTATTGTTTTACTTTAAAAAATAATTAAAAGTACGCTACAGAGATAAACACTGTTAAACAAAACCCCGAAAATCATGTGCGTGACGTGCATGTACATTCGCCGACTAAACATTTATGTAAGCTTTGAAAAATATTTATTTATTTGTAAAAATATTTCTTTTTGATTATTTGAAAATTTAAAAAAATCTTACCACAATTAGCAGCAAACAAGAATGAACTTCAGAAAAATATAGTAAAACATCTTAGTACGGTTTATCACAATAAGTCACGCTATTTGACGAGAACATGATATTGTACGACTTACTATATTGTTTGTTTACAAGCGATTGTTAGTTCGTTCCGCATTCAATTATGTAAACTGCGCTTCATTCCTTTTATTAGGATTAAAAAATAAAATATAAACGAAATACTTGTTTCACAGATAACATTCCGATAAAAACTTACAAAACGAAATTTACACGTTTCTAAACGCACGTTCACGCACGATTAAAACCGCAAACGATTGAGTCTGTTACACGCACGATCTCGCACGTTACACGAACGATCACGCACGATGCACGAACAATTCTACACGATTGGTTTGTCAACAATAACGTTCCAGCCACTGTACATGTACATGTACATTATAGAATAGAAGATTGGGATTGATTTCGCTCGAGAACCAAACTGAACCAAAATTTATCTAATTCAAAATTCTTATACATCAGTACATAAAACGAAACTGACAAAATAAATGGTTGTTTGCATAAAAAAAAAATAATGCCCCATGCAAGGCTCGAACCAAAAAGTTTGCGCTTTTTGTGCTTTGAACAGGTATCCCATCTTACTGAGCTATCAGTATTCAATTACGCCCAGATTCCTGCCGAATGCCAATCAAAAGCGCCCTCGTTCTTTGTGGTTGTTTATGTCCCCTGTATCAGGGGATCTGCCATTTACTTTAGGGGGGGGGGGGGCTCTTTCGATTATATAGTGATAATACATTAATTCTTTGAAAATCTTTTCCTTTCCTCCAGGGTGTTAAATTATGCCAATTATCTAAATTTATATATATTTATCTGTTTTTGATGAAAAAAGGTGCATCTAGAAATACGGTGAATTTTATGTCCCCTGGGTCAGGGGTAGGGGGGAGGGTTATTTAGTCTGAAAATAAATTAATGCTTTGAAATCTTCTTTTTGGTATTAATCAACCATTTATGATGAAATAAAATTTCCAAAATTTTGAAATACATGTAAATGGCCCCAGGGTTAGTGGTTCCTTTGGGGTGAGGTGTATTTATAACTGGTTATAAAGTGGAAGTGCATTTTTTCTTTGTTACTCTCATCTACTTCTGGGTATTAAGTAACTAGTAGAGTAAGGATGCTACATGTGTAAGTGTATAATTATGATAAGCAATACTGCCTCTTTCAAAATTATGAATTTCATGGCCTCTGGTTTAAAACACGAAATAAATTCAATTGTCAAAAGTTGTTACGTGATCCTCAGGTGACCTATAAGGCCCGTGGGCCTCTTGTTAAAAAAAGTCAGTAGTCAAATATTTATAATTTTTTATGTCAGACTAATTAAAGGAAAAATTAACTTTCCTCAAACTTTTTGTCAGATAAATGAATAAATATTTTATTAAAAACTAAAAGTTTACTTATCAAATCTAATCTTTATACATTGAACTGCTTTTATGTAGGCCTATATCAGTTGACATGTATAAAGTTGTCGATTCTCTATGTTACCAATCAATACAACTTTAATTTATATAACACTGTAGTTATGATGTTTCTGTAAAACTTATTCTTAAAACAGAGGTGATTGTTGGGGTGAACAAGTACCGACCTAAAGAGGAACATCAGGTGGACGTACTGTGTATAGATAACAAACACGTGAGGGAGAGTCAAATACAGAGACTGAACAAGACGCGGGAAAACAGAGACCAGAAAAAGGTAAAAAAGGAAAAAAAAAGGATTGGAGACTATTAAGTGACAAAAAAGAATGAAAAAGGTACAGAGACAACCACAATGGTCAATTTCATTTCAAGATAAAATCTTGTATTAAAGGGGCTGGTTGGTTGTGGCCATTTTTAGACTACCGTATAAGTGGAAATTTTAGCAAGATGCAAATTTAGCGATTTGTGCTTAAAAACTGGTAATTTATTTTTAGCGAGATGCAATTTTAGTGATTTTAAAATGTTCACAATAGAAGCTTTTTAAATAAAATGCAATTAATTTTTAGTTTTTAGCGATCTCACTACCCTTGCTATAAATTAAATCCTCGCTAAAAATTCTACTTATTCGGTGTTTTATCTCCTTTAGAAGAAGAGCTCCGTATAATTAAATATATCATAAAATGATAAAATTCTAAAAATAAAATTTATGAAATTTTTCTTTGCCAAATGATAGTTGACAGATTAAGATATATCTAAAAAATTAAGTTATATCTGGTGGTTAAATTTGTTGACCCTCTAGCCTCCTTAAATGTTAAAATTGGAGACTTACAACTTTTTTGGGAAATTGACTTCAATATTCTATCAGGCTGATGAGGCATTAGCAGCCATCACAGAGGCATGTTCCAGTAAGAACGGAAACCTTCTGAAGCTATCTATAGATGCTGCCAGGGCACGGTGTACGGTAGGAGAGATCACACAGGCCATGGAAAAGGTACAGCACACCCTTCACCACAGGGGAGGGGAGAATTATTTTTCATACAATAGTAACTGTATTTGAAATAAATTGAACTTGCTTACTTGGAGATGAAGTACTACATGTAAGGTCATGAGTGTTAAGAATGTTGATTTATTGTGATTTATAGGTATGTTGGAAGTTAGGCTGGACTGAGGACATCAGCCTGGATAGCTCAGTGGTTAGAGCACCCGACTAGTAATACAGGGGTCCCGGGTTTGATTCCCGGTCCAGCCATATGTTTTTTGTCTTATATGTATTTATGAATTTTCAATGTATGTTAGTTTATGCTCATTCCTCCTTTCCATACTACAGGTATATGGTAGACATGAAGCCAGTTATAGACTGGTCAAGAGTGTTATGTAGTGTATGTTGTTTTGTTGTTATTTATAGGTATATGGTAGACATGTTGCCAGTGATAGGTTGGTCAGTGGAGCTTACAAGACCGAGTTTGGAGAGGTGGATGAAATTACTCGGGCCACACAGAGAGTTCAGGTAATCGATAGTAATAAATTAACAAAAATCTTAAGAAAATTCACACTACATTCGCCCTTTGGGCTACACGAACATTGTATTCCTCAGATGGCTAAATCATCGTATTACCTGATTAAAAAAAACAGTGAAAACTTAATTATCAAACTGATATACTTGTACTGAGCTTCATATTAGTAACTGTTATCTTGCATATAACTTTTATACAATAAGTTGATCTCAGGAATAAAAATCCACATTAATTTTGATTTCAATGATCATGCAACCTATATTTTTTTTTTTTTTTCATTATCGATGAATGTGAGTTACAGAATATAATATGTTATTTCTTTTGTAAATAAAATTCCCCCAAAAACTCCATTGTATTTTTTCATTGTATTAAAAACAGAACTATTTATTTTTTATAGCAATTTGCTGAGACAGAAGGGCGACGTCCACGTATCCTGGTGGCCAAAGTGGGTCAAGATGGACATGATCGCGGAGGAAAAGTTATTGCCACAGGGTTTGCTGACTTGGGATTTGATGTTGATATTGGCCCATTATTTGCTGTAAGTTAAAAATGTTCTATCATGTACACTGCATGTTAATTGTTAAACATGATATGCAAACAGGTAAATTCTATGTTCTTCTGTAAATTAAGCTTAAAGTATGTAAGTTATTGAGACCTTTGGATGTTCTTTATACAGGGTCATTGACATAATCTGAATTTCCTTTAATTATCTTGCTCATTTTTAGCTCACCTGAGCCGAAGGCTCAAGTGAGCTTTTCTGATCAAAATTTGTCCGTTGTCTGCCGTCGTCGACGTTGTTCGTAAATTTTTCACATTTTCATCTTCTTCTCAAGAACCACTTGGCCAATTTCAACCAAACTTGCTACAAAGTATCCTTGGATGAAGGGGAATTAAGTTTGTTCAAATGAAGGGCCATGCCCTTTTCCAAGGGGAGATAATTATGAATTAATGAAAAATTGATGGCATTTTTAAAAAATCTTCTTCTCCAGAACCACTGGGCCAAGAAAGATGAAACTCATGTGGAATCATCCTCAGGTAGTGCAGATTCAAATTTGTTTAAATCATGACCCTCGGGGGAAGGGTGGGGCCAAAATGGCCGATCAAAGTTTTACATAGGAATATATAGGAAAAATCTTTAAAATTCTTCTTCTCCAGAACCACTGGGCCAGGAATGATGAAACTCATGTGGAATCATCCTCAGGTTGTGTAGATACAAGTTTGTTCAAATCATGACCCCCGGGTGTAGGGTGGGGCCAAAATGGCCGATCAAAGTTTTACATAGGATTATACAGGAAAAAATCTTTAAAAATCTTCTTCTCAAGAACCACTGGGCCAGGAATGATGAAACTCGTGTGGAATCATCCTCAGGTAGTGTAGATTCAAATTTGTTCAAGTCATGACCCCAAGGGGTAGGATGAGGCCAAAATGGTCGATCAAAGTTTTAGATAGGAATATATAGGAAAAATCTTTATAATTCTTCTTCTCAAGAACCACTGGGCCAGGAAAGATGAAACTCATGTGGAATCATCCTCAGGTAGTGTAAATTCAAATTTGTTCAAATCATAGGGGCTAGGGTGGGGTTAAAATGGCAGACCAAAGTTTTTCATAAGAATATATAGGGAAAACCTTTTAAAATCTTCTTTTCAAGTACTTCAAAGCCATGATTAGTAATATTTATATGGAATCATCCTCAGGTAGTGTAGATTCAAGTTTGTTCAAATCATGATCCCCTGGAGGGTTAAAATTCAAGGCTCCCCCCCCCCCCCCCCCCCCCCGGCTAACCTCGGTAAACTTTCAGTTCTGATCTGATATGTGCTTTTTCCTAGCCGATGTGCTCAGGTGAGCGCTGTGGCCCCTGGGCCTCTTGTTTGGCATTCCTTGACCTGATGTCAATCATGTTTTGGAGTTTCTTCGTATTTACTAAAAATTCTTGATGAAAATTTAAAACAAACAGAAAAATTGACAAATAAATGCTTTTCATGTTTATATATAAAAGAGTCACTTATTTTTGTAATGTATTCTCTTCATTTTGTATGTCCTCTCTCCAATAATGACAAATATTTTATAAAAACTGTCCCAACTCTGATTTTACAGACCCCTATAGAAGCTGCCCAGCAAGCAGTGGACGCCGACGTCCACGTGTTGGGGGTCAGTACTCTGGCCGCAGGACACAAAACTCTCATCCCAGAGGTCATCCAGGAACTCAAGAAAATGGGCAGACCGTAAGTAGGATGGTCACTATGAATGAATGATCAAGTGTGTTATTTAAAAGGGCCCATTGAAGGGTTGGGCGAACCATAAGTAGAATGGTCACTTTGAAAAGATGGGCAAACCTTAAGCTTTGAATGATGTATGGGTCTTTTGAAAGAAGAGATAGATCATTAAAAAATGGAGTCTTTCTAGAAAACAGTGGATAAACCAGGTGTTTGAAATACTGCTTACCAAATTATTAATGCTTAAAAGTAGGACAATCAGGGAAGGAAATATTGAACATTTAATGGCTACTGTGCAGAATGTAGAGAACTGCAAAAAAATCATTTGCACATGATATGAGACAAACTGTAATGCGGTACATGTATTTGTTTGATCTTCAGTTGTATGTTTTGTTACAGTGATATTCTGGTGGTAGCAGGGGGAGTCATTCCACCTCAGGATTACGACTTCCTGTACCAGGCCGGGGTCTCCGCTGTGTTTGGTCCAGGTAGGTCAGATGCTCAGAAAGTTGATTAATTACCTGTATCCATATATTTTCAATTTGATTTTTAGCTGTGAGAAAATTATGAAAACATATATGACATCAATAATTTGAAATTTCTTTGAGTGCCCTCAATGAAACTGAAAAATTGGTGAGAATCAGATAAATGAGACAAAGACATTTAATTTTTAAGTTTAAGGGTCATTCTTCCTACATGCTAGCATTTAATTGTAGATAGGGTTATGTGAGTTATCAAACTCTTTGATTCATGGCCTAGAAAAACTTGTGTATGATTCTCTAAAATAAACTTTTCTTTTAAAAGGTACAAGAATTCCAGATGCTGCCATCAAGGTGATAGATATGCTTGAAAAGAATACTGACAATACAGATAAAGCTAAATCTGCCACAGGATGAAACTTTGTGGAGATATGTCAAAAATGACACTAAATTGTAATAAACATAGCTTCTAGCTGTCTTTCTAAAGTGGCATGATTATTTGAGAAGACAACAATGAATTGAATGTGTTGCAGTTTGAACCCTTATCATATACTCTCAAGGATGATGTCAAACATATATGGAAGCATTGTCCTATTGTTAGTCACTGAAAGGACATATTTATGCATGTTTGACAAATTCGTCTTTTGTCATGCCATATTGTGCATAATATAAAATGTGTCTTCATTTTTGTGACTTTTTAATTGTATAGAACTGAAAAATTCAAAGCCTTGCCTAAACTTTTACCATGTTTGTTTTGTCTTTGCATCACTTTCTCCCCCCCCCCCCCCCCAAAAAAAAAAAAAATAGATTGTTTACTTATTCCTGTATCTTTGAAATACTTAGAAACTTGTCCAATATGCAATCTAGATGTTGTATATTCCAACTATTCGGATATCTTGCCTGATAAGGTGTAAACCTTAAGTCCCTTGCAGGAGAAATTATATTGTTTGAAATATTGTTTTATCTATATTTCTTATTAGCTCTTCTGAGCCAAAGGCTCAAAGAGCTAATGCTTTTGGCTCAGAAGAGCTAATGCTATGGCCATTTGTGCGGTGTGCGTCGTGCGGTGTGCGTTAACTTTTTAGAAAATGGGCCATAACTCAAGAATGCCTTGGCCAATCATTGTCAAATTTGTCACAGGGTATCCTTGGCCCAAGGGCTACCATTTATACTAAAATAAGGGTTGGGACCCTTAAACAAGGGGAGATAATCAGGAAAACAAAACCAAAAGTACTGGTTGCTAAAAAATCTTCTTCTCCAGAACCACCAGGCAGATTTTCACCAAACTTACACACAAGGATCAGAATATGTTGAAGATAAAAAATTGTTCAAGGCATGACCCTGGGGCAAAGGGCGTGGTTTCAAGGTCACTTCAGAGTTGACCTAAATTTACAATTGATAAAAACGTTTATATTTTGCTCACTATAAGGACTAGGATCATCAAATCTTGTAAGTTGATGCATCTTAAGACTTCACATCATGTTAAATCAAAAGTAGGTCACAGTGACCTACTTTTTTTATTTTGCGGGCATTTGTTTTCAAATTGATTTGAAGGCATATTTTGGACACTTTAAGGCCTATGATCATCAAACTTTGTTAGTTAATGCATCTTGGGTCCTTGAACAACGTCAACTTAAAAGTAGGTCACCTTGACCTACTTTTTGAACTTTATGACTTATTCTTTTTAAAACATTTAATCCCATTATTGCAGACACCGAGAGGGTTAGAATCATCAAATCTTGAAAATTCCTGCATCTTGGGACCTTAAAACATATTTATGAAAAAGTAGGTCACTGTGACCTACTTTTTGAATTTTGCAGGCATATGTATTCATATTGTTTAAAAGGCATTTTTTGATTACCTTCTGACCTACGATCATCAAATTTGGTCAGCAGATGCATCTTGGGACTTTGAAAAATGTTGACTAAAATGTAGGTCACGGTGACCTACTTTTGACATTTTATGGCTTTATTTAAGTATCTTCGGTATTTATTGGCTAAGAATTATCAAACTTTGTGAGTTGATGCATCTTGGGTTTTCGGAGAGTGACAACCAAAAAGTAGGTCACGGTGACCTACTTTTGACATTTTATAGCTTTATTTAAGTATCTTAGGTATTTATATGCTTAGAATCATCAAACTTTATGTGTTGATGCATCTTGGGTTTTCGGAGAGTGATGACCAAAAAGTAGGTCACGGTGACCTACTTTTGACATTTTATGGCTTTATTTAAGGATCTCTGGTACTTATTGGCTTAGAATCATCAAACTTTGTCAGTTGATGCATCTTGGGTTTTCAGAGAATATCAACCAAAAAGTAGGTCATGGTGACCTACTTTTGAATATCTCAGATACATATTGGCTTAGAATCATCAAACTTTGTCAGTTGATGTATTTTGGGCTTTCGAAAATCGCCTACTAAAAATTAGGTCACAGTGACCTACTTTTAACATTTTATGGCTATAATTAAGTACCTCCAGTACTTATTGGCTTGGAATAATCAAACTTTGTCAGTTGATGCATTTTGGTTTTTCCAGGAATGTAGATGAAAAAGTAGGTCAAGGTGACTTACTTTTGAATATCTCACATACTTATTGGCTTAGAATCTTCAATCTTTGTCTATTAATGTATCTTGAGTCCTCAGAAAACTTCAATCTTAAAGTAGGTCATTGTGACCTACTTATGGTTTTTTTTTTATAGCTTTATTAAAATATCTTCAGTTATAATTGGCTAAGAATCATCAAACTTTGTCAGTTGATGCAACTTGGCTCTTAGAATACTTAGGGTTAGACGCTTCAAATAGAAGTGATAGGTTGTACAATTTATCAGAAGAGCGATTCAAGGCCCTTGGGCCTCTTGTATTTATGTACTACAGTGTATGATCATTGGCATGATTGTTGCTTTTTCAGTAATTATAAATATAATTCAAAAACATTTTTCTGCTTGTTTCAAACAATTTCGGAAAGTGAAGCTGCTCATGACTTCACCAAGAAAGAGATTAAGTATCTTTCCACTGTCAGGAAAAATTAAAAATTCTTAATGGCCAAAATAGAGAAATGACATTTTTTGTACCAGCTAAACAAATTCTAAAAAAAAAAAAACAAGTATCAGAAAATATGGGTAATCTTTTTCCCCAACCAATACCAACGGATGTGATAAACAAACAAGCAAGCAACTTAATTCCAAGATTTCATGTATTTATTTTGGCATTAATTTAATTGTCATAATTCATTCTAGAACACTCAGTATTTCTTATAAATACATGTAAATGTTTTTAGATCAATTATCATTACAAATAAAACATAATGAGAAGGTATGTCTTGCACTAATTAGGGCCCCGCAAGGATTTGCGGGTGCCCTATAGTAATCACTCTGTCTGTCCGTCAGTCTGTCTAGCTGTCCGTCTGTCATTCGTCCGTCCACAAGTTTTCTGTTTTTTTCCAATAACTTTTTTTATGGTTACCCAATCAAGTTCAAATTTGGTATGGTATTTCAGTAGGCAGAAATACATATTTTGATGCCAAGTTTGGTTCTCTATGTCTTCTGGTTTAGAGCTGGGGTGGTGGGGTAGATTTCTTAACTATGCATAAGAATGAATGGGCAAAGAGAGATAACTGCTGAGAATGTTATTGTAAACTGGGAAAGCTGTGCAATTTGTCCTTTGGGATTAATTAACCTTCCACATGAAGAAAATCCTAAGCATTATCTTTATCTGTCACATTGAGATTAATTACTCTACCACCTCTGTCTGCAAATGAACTTTGTTTTGAAGTTAAGGCCAATTTTGAATGATGTGTGCATTCTCTGAAATATGGATTTAAAATAATGTTCATACTTTATTTTGGTTCAAATACTGTACACAATGATTTATGATAATTTTATTGAATTCTAAAATCAAGATATATATTAAGATATCCTTTTTTTTTATTACTACATGTATTTTATTTTTTGAATTATTATTCATTTCATTTTTTTTTTTTTTTTTGGGCTGCCTTTAATGCTGTTAATTTTAACAGGTAATCAGATAATAACCCTGTTCTGTCAGCGCTGAATAAAAGTCTTGTAAATTTAGAAGAAAAGGATGAGAGAGCAGTACAATTATCCCCTGGGATTAATTATCTTGCTTGCTGCAGAAAATTTAGAGGCTTATCTTTATCTGTCACATGAAGATTAATGAACACCTTTGTCTGCAACTGATGTTTGTTTTAAAGTTGAGGTCAACCCTGGGTGATATTTGCATTCATTTAAGGCTTGCATTTCATAAAACACCTGCTTAATATTTTTTTTAAATACACATAATCGTTTAATTTAATTTTTATTAGAAGACATGAGGTTTTCCCTGTTTTATGTAAATACAAGGTTACTATTTATGGTTTTTGGACACTCAGGAATTATCTTGAATTTTTAAAAATACAGTTGTGAGTTGTTGCTTATAATCTTCATATATTTTTTTTAAACAATGTAATCAAGTAAAACTTGCATTCTATGAGCTGCACCGTTATATTTCTACCCCTCAGCGGGGCCCTTGCTGACGGGTCAGTTTTCTAGTTTCAATAAATAATTCAGGAAACGTTAAATTTACATGTAATCACAGGAACATGTGTATCTGCAATAAGTCAATAACAAAAAGTTAAAAAGAGAATTATAAACACATGTATGTGGGAAAGATACAATTGTATGTTACCCTTTAATATAAATATCTGCTTTAGCATTTCTGATGTTAATACTGTAACAATTTTTCTTTCAATCACAAAGTTGATTGAAAAAATCCTAATTTTAACAATGGCTCAATTATATGCATCCTATCTTCGACCTTCAGGATATTGTAGGGCTTGCTGAATTTTATCACGGGTCCTGTATGCTCTGGAAATGATGGATTGCCCCTTTTGATGGCCTCATAATCCATTTCACTACAGGAAAATTGTGAAAATGTTACCTGAAAACAAAGATGTGATTATTAAAACAAACTTCTTGGACCATTGCATGCCCTAAAATTTAGTTTGAAAGAATTCAAATGTTCATATTTTTTTAAAAATCTAAAATAAAATTAACTCAATTCATCTCTTTACCTGATAAGTTTGATAAAATCATGACAATATAGGCAAGGGCCACATTGCTCACCTAAACACTATTGCTGAAGAAATACCGATTTCAGTTCATAATTGTTTCATATATACCAGTCTTATACACCAGTATTCAAATTTCTGTTTGATTTCTTTTAATATTATTATTAATTTCAGTAAAGTTTGAAGTTTTTGCATTACATCACAATCTTTTTTCAACAGATGCATCCAGCGTAAACAATTCATGCCCCCACTATGTGATTGGTCAACTCATTTGATCAACATTGACACAGAAATAGTCTGTTGCACGAGCAACCAATCAAGGATTTCCAGTCGTAAAGCTCCCGGTTAGGAGGCGTGTACTAATTACCTTGAGCACAGCTGTCATCATAGGTTGTGATGTAATGCAAAACTGCACACTTAACTGAAATTGATAATATGTTGCATAAATTTACTTACATTTGTATCTTGCACAATAAAACCAAAAAGAACAGGCTGTTTGGAAGATTTTGATGCTGAGTGAATTAGAAGTTCCCCACCATGTTGACCTATCACATCAGTGTCTAAATGAACAATGTCTTTTCTATCCTTTTCACTAAGTTTTCGGCTTTTAGGTGGAGAAGGTTCAAAATTAACAGATTCCATGTTTCTTTTTACCTGCAATTACATCATACATGTGCATATTATTGATTCATATTATATCAATGTGAATGAATTATATATAC